CATTATGTGTGTAATAATCATATATTTGCAAAAAATAATCACAAAATTTTACATTGTTCTTGTGACGAAGTGTGGTTTTTTTACAAGTGGTTATTGCTTGAAAATAAAATTTTAAATTAATCATAAATTTTGTTTGATTTCCCAAAAACATTAGTTATAGTACACAATATATATTAATTGTTTACACCAACACTTTAATTTTTTATTTCACACCTTAGAACTTTAGACGTGTGTAATGTTTCACTTTATACATCCGTTTACTGCTATTGTGGCAGGACCAAGTGGATGTGGAAAGTCAAATTTTGTAACAAATTTAATAAAATTAGTTACAGAAATATGTAATTGTGATTTTAATCAGATCACATGGTGCTTTGATGAAATGCAACCTTTATATAATTTACCAAATGTTAACTATCATCTAGGAATTCCAAATCTTATTAAAAATGTTGACGACGAATGATAGAATTTTTAATATTGAAGAATACAAATGTCCAAAATACAATGATTTGGTAAATGTCATAAATTTAAACAAACGTTATGTGTGTAATAATCATATATTTGCAAAAAATAATCACAAAATTTTACATTGTTCTTGTGACGAAGTGTGGGTTTTTTACAAGTTTTTTAAAATTATGACAAAAAGTTTAAATTTATGACATTTACCAAATCATTGTATTTTGGACATTTGTATTCTTCAATATTAAAAATTCTATCATTCGTCGTCAACATTTTTAAAAATTGTTTTTCTGTTGAACCACCTTTGTATGCGATCACTTCGTCTTTGCACAAATTTCTAATATACCAATTTAATATGGGAATTATGTTCTCTTGTTTGTAGGCACATTTTAATTCTTCGGTCACATGAAAATATGGAATGCCGTGCACGTGTGTTTCACAATAACGAACAGTTTTTTGTCTTTTGGCGACAAATAATTGAAAGGATAATTTTGTGTCATTTTAAACCAAAATGTTAAAAGTTACACGTGACTAAAAATATGTTTGTTCCAACAAACTTCACATAACAATACTTCATTACTTCCCATCATCCCATTTCTTCCTTCTGCTCTTATCTTCCTGTAATTTAAGTAAACAGAATCACATTCACTAATGATCAACTAATGACTGTCATTGTTAAAAAAAGTATTTTTTAACTTTTTCACTTTCTGCTATTGTATTTGTATTTATGGCTAGGAAATGTCCGCGGCGCGGCCTCAATGCGTGTTGGCAAACTTCACATGCCTTCGAAATTTTATCAGACATGCAGGTTTCCTCACGATGTTTTCATTCACCGCCGAGCACGTGGTAAATCAGCACTTAAAATTGCAATTCACAATTTAATTGGTGCCGGCGGGGATCGAATCCGTGTCGCGTACTGTGAAATTTACAGCTTGCGCTAACCATCTGAGCTACCACGGCTTAATCATATACACACACACACACAATATTTAAATATAATTTGTTAACACTAAATCATACACACGTAAGAAAATAACAGAAAGAAAAGTAAGTTTGTCAATAGATTAAACGCTTACATCTATGGCCTTTGATGCGTTGAAGTAACACAAATGTAGTATTGATAGATCCACTACGATCAAACGACCATACACTAACTCCATGACTGCAGTTGCTTGGTCTTATATAGTACCAGTAAGTAATAATTCTAATCTAAAGAATTTCTACAGTGGAATTGATAATAACTTTATGCTTTAACAAGCTTAGCTCACATATTGTTGCTTATCTTAACATTACGTCGTGTTGCGTCTTGTTCAGTGTATTGATGACTCAAATACGTTTTGTATAACACAAAATAATGCAATTTAATATTTAGAAATCACTATAATTGATCATTCCTATGTTAGTCATTTAGTAGATTGTACTGTAATAATCTTCTAATAGCAGTAATATCATGGATACACTAGATGTACAACAACATCTGAAAAAGATTCACCCCAGTCTAGAAAATAATGTTTATGCTATTAATAGACTGCCCATGTACACCCACGTACCAACGTATATACCTAGTCAGGTCATAAGTATTGTCACACAGTAAAAACTTTTCTTTTAGAATGCTGGCCACAAAAAAGTTTATTGAATTCGAATTGTTCATGAAAATAAAACTGTATACTTTTTAGAATTTTACTCATTTTTAAATATGGAGTAAACGCTTAAAGAAGACCATGTTGCAGTTATTGCGTTGCATCGTTGCGGTTACGCGCCAATTCAAATTTTTGACATACTGAAAAATTTGAATATAACCAAAAGATTCGTTTATCGTACCATCAAACGATACAATGAAGACTCTAGTGTAGATGACAGGTCAAGAAGTGGTCACCCTCGGTCTGTTAGGACTCCAGCAGTGATAAAAGCTGTGAAGACGCGAATTTAAAGAAATCCCAAACGTAAGCAGAAATTGTTGGCCCTTCAGATGGGGTTAAGCAGAACCACGGTGAAAAGGGTGTTAAATGAAGACTTAGGGCTTCGGGCATATCGAAGAAAAACAGGACATCGTTTGAATGCTGGTCTAATGGACCTGAGACTGAAGAGATGCCGCGCTTTGTTGAAGCGGTACGCGGGAAAAAAATATCGGGAAATTCTTTTTTCGGATGAAAAATTTTTTACCGTAGAAGAGAGCTACAACAAACAAAATGATAAGGTGTACGCACACAGTAGTGAAGAAGCGAGCAACCGTATTCCGGGTGTCCAACGAGGTCATTTTCCATCCTCGCTCATGGTATGGTTGGGAGTTTCTTATTGGAGCTTAACAGAGGTACATTTTTGTGAGAAAGGTATAAAAACGAATGCAGTTGTTTATCAAAATACAGTCCTGACGAACCTTGTGTAACCTGTTTCTCATACCATGTTTAATAACAGGCACTGGGTATTCCAACAAGATTCGGCGTCAGCTCATAGAGCGAAGAGCACAACAGACTGGCTGGCGGCGCGTGAAATCGACTTCATCCTGCACGAAGACTGGCCCTCCTTCAGTCCAGATTTGAATCCGTTAGATTACAATATATGGCAACACTTGGAGGAAAATGCGTGCTCAAAGCCTCATCCCAATTTGGAGTCACTCAAGACATCCTTGATTAAGGCAGCCGCCGATATTGACATGGACCTCGTTCGTGCTGCGATAGACGACTGGCCGCGCAGATTGAAGGCCTGTATTCAAAACCACGGAGGTCATTTTGCATAAACTATAGTGTCATAAGAATTTATGTTTTGTTAAGTCCATTTTGGTATATAAATGGTTACATAATGAATAAACTTGTTTCAATTATTTTATATTAAACATGTGATAGAATTTATGACCTGACTAGGTAATATGCAATTTGGGTACAGATGATAAACCAGGGTCACATTGGGTAGCTTTATATATCGATACGAATGACGTCGGTCAATATTTTGATTTTTATGGACGAACACCTGTACGATATCATCTAGAGTTTTTAAAAAGGAATTGTAAAAGATGGAACTGGAATGTTTATAGGATTCAGAATGAGTGGACTTCAGTTTGTGGCGAATATTGCTTAATGTATTTGCTATATAAGTTTCAGGGATGTTCAATCCATAGTTTTACGAGTATATTTACAGGAAACACATTGTACAACGATATTTAATGGTGAGATGTTTCGCTCCTATTTTATAGATAATAAGTAATAAGATTTTGTATTTTATAAATAAAGATTTTAACAAAATTAGGTAATGTGTTTTATTGTTGATTCAGATTAGTGTTGTAGATAGGAACAAAGGAGTATAATACAATAGCACTGATGAGGCGACGCACACGCTGACGAATAATAGATAATGACGTTATTCAATGAACAATAGATAAGAACAATGGAGCGCTAATGACGGTGGAGGCCTTCACCGGATATCAATTAGATAAGAGTTAATTGATCTGCACATCTCCGGAACCGTGCATCCTACGCAAAAATGGACCGCAGATTCGTGATCAGAGCATGCCAAAACCTTCTTTATTTTTTTAGGATCGTGAGTCGACGAACGTCGTACTTGTACCACTTCTGACTCAGTGCGCCAGAACTGGTACAACGTAACTACTTAGATATCTATGGGCCGCAGCAACCACTTGCCATCAGGTGGACTGTGTGCTCGCTTGTCATCCTTTTCCTATATAAAAAAATACATTTTAATTTTACTATCGTACCCTTGATCGTTTTCATTTAAATTAATGTAATATTTTAACGTTGGCGGATTAAAATGGCCTTGTGAGTTCTTAGTCGAAATATTGTGGTCAAATATTTTGTCCATCAGCTACTCGTTAACTCGATATGGATCTTGTCTTCGCTATCAAGATCTGTCAACCGTAAATGATTTGTGCAACCTCCAGTGAATAGCTGCCATAAAATTTAAAAAATCCTGCACCTTTAAACAAATCACCAATGTATCAAGTAGGAGACAGTTTTACACTGTATTTGCCGGTAGTAGGCTTGTCACTTCTTTCTTGTCCATGTGTTATAGTTTTACATACAAGTCATTAGATCTATTTTCACTTTAGCTTTTACAGATCTGTTTGGCTATGTCAATTACTCTAGATTCTAGTTCAATTCAATTGTGAAGTTCGTTTTGGAACTTTTTAACGCAGAAAATTTTCAAACATAACCTTTCCTAATACGGCCAGCAGTGTTAGTTCACGTCTCGGTTTAAAAATGAGCCTATGAAATAATAATGATAACTTAATGTGGGAAGCTTCCTATTCTACAGGTGATATTATAGTGCTACAATTTTAACTAGGCGAAAGGAATCCTTTCAGCGTTGAATTCCCTCTGAATAGGTATCACGCTTTTATCCACCAATTCCTAACCGAAACATAGAAATGACGCACACGCTATGTATAGCGGAAACTACATGCCGAATAACGATGTGATTTTAACATCGGGCTTAAACGTTACTACCAAAATATGTCTCTGGTTTAAAATATTTTCTTAGTAATAACTAGCACTGATAATAGACAAACTGTTAAAATATTTATTTTCTTACAGCTGTTGCAAATGCTGAAATTCTACGCACGCTTTGAGATAAGCGACGAAACCGGAGATCCAATGACGGACCGCGACATGACGCTGCAGCATTACTCACGAATAACATCGTTACAGGTGCGTCTTTTATATATCCTGAGGTTTAACTAACTGAAGATATGAAAACAACTCATATGTGTGAAGATAAACTTCATAAATATTAGTTTGTTTATTTTAACTTTAGTTCACTCATTTAAGTTTTCGAGTCCATAGTCTAGCATTTTTCATCGTTATTTATAAAAAAATCTATGTATGTATGTAAAATGCTGAGTGCATTAAGATTTTTCCTTTATCGTGAGAACGTTATACGATCGTAAATGGTACAAATATCCAATTTTCGTTATAAAATAAATGTAACAAACGCACACATAGTCCACCTGATGGTAAAGGATCTACACTCGTATTTATCCTCAATTAAGAATCAAAATGCAGATTCGTTGTTACCCATGAGTACTAAGATGGAATGCCTCGTTTCCAGTAAAAAGGATCTCTGTTTCTCTATTGGTAGTCGAATGGCTATGTATTGTTGTATCTAAATAATCTATAAGAATTTAGCGAAGTAGTCGGATTTAATTTACACAAACTAATCGTTAACATTACTTATTTAAAAACACAAATATATTGTTATTTAACTTAACCAAGAATTTAGAACGAATATCTATATTTTTTTGCAAATAACATGACAGTCATGAAAATTGCATTGTTGTTACCAAACCCTATTCGAACTTAGCTTTGAAAAAGTCTCTTTCAAATTCCATTATTTTTTAATTTTAAAATTTTGAAAGAGGATATTTAATAAAACTGAAAAAAAAACCTGCTCAATATATAACAAATGGCTCCATGGCGTAGGAGCATCACACTGAGTTATTAGTTCGAATCCCGCAAGGAGTCAGTGTTTCAGCTCTGTTTGTCCTTGTGCAATTTTTTTATGTAAACTGATACAAAAAAGACCTATTTTGGGGTTGGGGGATATTTTATTTACTAAAGAATATAAAAAAATTAATAAAACGAGAAAACTTGGGCTTATATCAAAGTCATTTCTGAAATTCTGCTCATTTTAAACCGACTTCAAAAATAGAAGGAGATTCTCAATTTGACTACATTTTTTATATGTATCTCAGAACTTTTTTCTAGGTGAACCAACTTTGATGATTCATTTTTGATTTGAAAGCTGGTGCTTCTCATGTAATCTCATATAAGTTTTTGAGTTATCCTTAATAATGTATATTTAATTGACTTCGAGTACATTGATAATGTTCTCATTTTTTTATTTTGAAGTCGGTTGTACAAAACTTAATTTTAGCACTTGTTATAAGGATTATATTTTTCCTTAAATTAGCAGTGAATTTTAATATCGAAAATCGGCATCGATGACTGAATTATACTTAAAAATATTTTGTGTTCTTTTTCATTTTTTTTTAAATATTTCTTTCGCTGAATACCAAGCTAAGCAAACAAGTGGCAAACTATAGTATGGTTTTATTTGATGCGAGCTGGAAAAATTTTTTTGAATTCGACCGTGAAAACTGATGAATCTGATGAATTCTTTCCCTTTCCTAAAATAATTATTGTTAACAAAATTTCAATAATCTATTTTTTCTGTTTCTTTACGTTTTTTTTTTTTTCAATTAAAATGCGAAAATGACGGAAAAATATTTCTGTTGCGTTTGATTTAGATGCCGCCAAACATGGAATTCAGCTTGTACACATTGTCATGTATTTTCGTATTTGGCACATTCTACTGGGAACTGTTGGACGTCATTCTATTTCCTACATAAAGTACACAAAAAGAGTCGCTTTTCCTCATCGAAAAACAAAACTTATTTAATGCACATCCGCGTAAGATTTATTACTATTCCTTACCTACTAAGCTTAGCATTTTGTTATTGTGTTTTTTTTTTAAATATAGAATAAGTGTGTCAAACGAGCACACAGTCCACCGAATGATAAATGTTTGCTGTGGTACATGGACATCTACATCTGTCACCCGTAAGGACTCAGATGGAATAACTCGTTTTCCCTAAAAGGGGTCTTCGGTTCTCTACACTCACCATACAAAAGTTTTACACAGTTTATATTCTGTGGTCCTTCTGCGGTCGAGCCGACCCGTTCGTGCTAATCCATACTAATATTATAAATGCGAAAGTGTGTTTGTTTGTTTGTCCTTCTTTCACGTCGCAACAGAGCGTCGGCATGGCATGATTTTATGTATGGGGATAGTTCGGTGGCTGTAGAGTGACATAGGTTACTTTTTTCCGCGGAAAAACATCTCATTCCCGTGGGAAAATAGAATATGTTGCAAAAGTTTGTCCTTCTTTCACGTCGCAACAGAGCGTCGGCATGGCATGAATTTTTGTATGGGGATAGTTCGGTGGCTGTAGAGTGACATAGGTTTCTTTTTTCCGCGGAAAAACATCTCATTCCCGTGGGAAAATAGAATATGTTGCAAAAGTTTGTCCTTCTTTCACGTCGCAACAGAGCGTCGGCATGGCATGATTTTTTGTATGGGGATAGTTCGGTGGCTGTAGAGTGACATAGGTTACTTTTTTCCGCGGAAAAATATCTCATTCCCGTGGGAAAATAGAATATGTTGCAAAAGTTTGTTGTTCTTTCACGTCGCAACAGAGCGTCGGCATGGCATGAATTTTTGTATGGGGATAGTTCGGTGGCTGTAGAGTGACATAGGTTTCTTTTTTCCGCGGAAAAACATCTCATTCCCGTGGGAAAATAGAATATGTTGCAAAAGTTTGTCCTTCTTTCACGTCGCAACAGAGCGTCGGCATGGCATGATTTTTTGTATGGGGATAGTTCGGTGGCTGTAGAGTGACATAGGTTACTTTTTGCCGCGGAAAAACATCTCATTCCCGTTCCCACGGGAAATATTCTATTTTCCCACGGGAATGAGATGTTTTTCCGCGGAAAAAAGTAGACTATGTCACTCTACAGCCTCATTCCCGTGGGAAAATAGAATATGTTGCAAAAGTTTGTCCTTCTTTTACGTCGCAACAGAGCGTCGGCATGGCATGATTTTTTTTGTATGGGGATAGTTCGGTGGCTGTAGAGTGACATAGGTTACTTTTTTTCCGTGGAAAAACATCTCATTCCCGTGGGAAAATAGAATATGTTGCAAAAGTTCGTTCTTCTTTCACGTCGCAACAGAGCGTCGGCATGGCATTTTTTTTTTTGTATGGGGATAGTTCGGTGGCTGTAGAGTGACATAGGCTACTTTTTTCAGCGTAAAAACATATCATTCCCGTGGGAAAATCGAATATGTTGCAAAATTAAATTCAACTAGGTGGCGCCACCGTGATTCTACAAGACGGACGACGGTACATTGGACGAACATAGAAGGTCAGAATATCTGGATTATTATGTTTTTTTTACCAAAATTAAGATAAAAAATGTATGGATCTGTATTTTTCTACGCAGGACCGGGAAGAGAGCGATAAAAAACATAAAATTCACCAGCTGATTTTCTGCAAACGTTTTGGTGCATTGTAATTCACAGAATATGCGATAACCTCGCAGACGATATTTAGTAATCCGTTGATGCTCTGCCTACCCCGCAAGGTTTACAGGCGTGATTATAAGTATGGATCAGAAATACTATCACCACCTGTCACGCTTTCACCCTTAACTATTACTTAACTGTGGTGGAAACAGTTCTTAGTAAGCCTTATTAATAAGCCTTAGTAATATTTATTGAACGGAAATGAATATAGTATAAGAAAAATTGTGCAAAATTATAAGAAAATATTTTTGAGTTCTTATTAACTAACGTCTGCATAGTTTAAATTGATTCCACTAGATGTCGTTACCAGGTTTTTAAAACGCGGTAACGAAATGTTTCCTGACATGTACTTAACTCCCGCCGTTGAGCCGCGCGTCAAATTATAGTGCATACGGTGCCTATACGCTTAAATTGTTTCTATTTCGTAGCTTATTCGACTACCTGCTTTCGATTTCGGTTGTTTGTTATTTGCTTTGTGATTTGGTTAAGGATGAATGGATTTATATTGGCTTTCATTTTCGGATTTGTGTATTTTCTTGGATCGGTTTTGTTGATTTGATGGGTATTCCTTTATACATATTTAGACTCTGGCTTTGATTTTGGATTTTGTATATTTAGAATCGTGAATTGGTTTTCGTTGTTTTAGGTTGTTTAACAATATTTCAAAGGAATATTAATAGTATAGATAGTGTATACGGTACCTATACACTTACTTCTTTTTTTGTTGGTTATATTTATATTGACTACTGCTATCGATTTCGGTTTTCTGCGATTCGTTTTGTGATTTGGTTTAAGTTGATTCGATTTTTTTTTGGCTATCGTTTTCGGATTCGTGTTGTGTCTTGAATTGGTTTTGTTGTTTTGATTTTTAAAAAAGTATTTAAAAAGAATATTTCTTCCTTTTAGATATTTTGGATTTGCTTTTAAAAAATATTTAAAAGGAAATTTAATTGCTTTTAGGTATTTTAACGTTTTTTTATAAATAGGTTTTTTTGTTACTTCATAATGCCTCGCAAACGTAAGTCCAGCCTTTCAAGAGTATCTTCTCAAAGACAAGCGAAAAATTAGCTCGATCGCTAGAATATTTAGAAGATGCTGAACTGAGAAGGAACAAGCAGAGCGTCAGGCTGCTTTTAGAGCATCTGAGACACCTTCTCAACGTCAGCAAAGGCGTTTTGAACAGACAGAGCATCAGACTGCTTTAAGAGCTTCCGAAACACCTTCTCAAAGTCAGGAAAGGCGTCTTGAACAAGCAGAGCGTCAAGAGCTACTTTAAGAGCTTCTGAAACACCTTCTCAAAGTCAGTGAAGGCGTCTTGAACAGGCAGAGCGGAAAGTCAAGCTACTTTAAGAGCTACTGAAACACCTGATCAAAGTCAGCAAAGGCTATTCGAAGAAGCGGAACGTCAGGCCGCCTTAAGAGCCGCGGAAACACCTGATGAAACTCAACACAGGCTCATTGAGCAAGCTGAACGTCAATCTACTATAAGGGCATCTGAAACACCAGAACAGACACAGGCGCGAAGAGATGCAAATGCACAGCTCCAAGCTGAACGTCGACAAAATATTCAAAGAAACAATTGGTCGGTTTTTAATGACGCAGCATTCAATTATGATCCGTTGATTGCTTATAAAAATCACAGGTTAGTTGTTATCGGACCGATGGACAAGGCGTGTCGATTTTACAGTGCTTTAAAATGGAGAGATGAGACGGCAGGCATGTGCTGTTCCAATGGCAAAGTGTCTTTTTCATTACTTGGGGAACCAGAAAAACCTTTGAAAACTCTCTTTTTATATGATGCTAATGAGTCACGGCGCTTTTTAAACAGTATCCGGAAATATAACTCATGCTTTCAAATGACGTCCTTCGGAGTTGACCGGGAAATAATAATGCCGGGATTTTCGCCTACTTTTACGGTGCCAGGGCAAATTTATCATAGAATAGGTTCACTTTTTTCAACTGAAAACAAACAGCATACATTTTTACAAGTATATTATATGGGTGACGAAGAAATTGAGGTAGACCGTCGCTGCCAATTTATCCAGGGAGTTGAGTGAGACACAGTGTTCAAAATTCAAAGATTCTTGCATGAACGTAACATTTTAGTCAAAACATTTAAAACTGCTTTAGAAAACCTACCTGAAGAGGATTATAAAGTCGTCATTCACGCAAATCGGACCCCTCGAGGAGAGCATGAAGGGCGCTACAATGCACCTTTGATAAACGAAATAGTAGCTGTAATTAGTGATGATCAATTTTCTTCACGAGACATTGTCTTGCGAGCACGTGGTGATACGTTGCAACGGGTAGCCGATACACAGTTTGACGTCTGCAATATCCATATTTATTGCAAAGGACAAGAGGGTTATCATTTTCAAATTCCACTCATTAACCCGGTCACAAAGGAGCCTACTCCGAACAAAAAAGTATCATATATGGATTTTTATGCGTATCATATGATGTTGCGAGAAAATGATTTTAACCTCTTAGCCCGGTGTAGACAATTATTTCATCAATTTTTGGTAGACATGGAGACCTATCTTTAAATCAAAAGCTGCGCGTTGATAATTATATACATTTACAAGATGCAATTTCTAGCGACGCCAATGTAAACCCCAGAGATTTAGGTAAAATGGTAATTCTGCCCTCATCATTCGTTAACAGTCCCCGCTACCTGTACACACAAAACGCATTCGCCTATGTACGAACTTACGGAAGACCTGATCTTTTTGTTACTTTTACTTGCAATCCCACATGGAAAGAAATAACCGAGGAGCTAATGCTGGGCCAAAAAAGTACTGACAGACACGATTTAGTTGCTAGAGTATTTAGATTAAAAGTACAAAAATTAATGTATGTAATTAACAAAGGGAAAATTTTCGGAGAGGTGCAGTGCTTCATGTATTCAATTAAATGGCAAAAAAAGAGGATTACCGCATGCCCACATTCTAATATGGCTTAAAGAGAAGTTGCGGCCCAGCCAGATAGACGACATAATAAGCGCCGAGATTCCGGATCCTGAGCAAGATAAAGAATTGTATGATACCATCGTTCAAAATATGATTCACGGTCCATGTGGAGCACGAAATTCAATATGGCCATATATGAAAGAAGGAAAATGTACAAAGAAATTCCCTAAACAGCTATTAAAAGATAATAAGTACACAATGACAATGGCTACCCTTTATACAGACGCAGAGCTCCCGAAGATGGTGGCAGGAAAGTTACAATCAAATCTCGCTCTGGAGCGTTCGAAACCTTAGATAACAGCTGGATTGTCCAGTATTCGCCCACTCTATGTAAAATGTTTAATGCCCACATTAATGTAGAAGCATGTAGCTCTGTCCGCGCAATCAAGTATATCTGTAAGCACATAAATAAAGGAAGCGACCAAGCAATATTTAATCTCAGGATTAAAGGTGAGGCAAATCCCGTTAATGAAGTACAGACCTCTCAAGCAGGGCGTTATGTCAGCAGTAACGAGGCAGCGTGGCGTCTCCTTGGCTTCCCTTTACACGAAAGGCACCCAACAGTTACTCACTTTGCTGTGCACTTAGAAAATGTAGAGCGTGTATATTTCACCGTAAGAAATTGCCAAGAAAGAATTGTATCACCGCCAAAAACTACACTAACAGCCTTCTTTCATCTTTGTCAAACCGACCCCTTTGCAAAAACGTTGTTATATTCTGAAGTACCTTCCGCTATTATACTTGGAACACATCTAGGAAGGAGTGGAAACGCCGTATTCAAGGCGCGCCTGTTGCAAATTGGCCCGGTGTAATGTCATCAGATGCCCTTGGTCGTGTGTATACTGTCCATGTAACTAATTTTGAATGTTTCTGTTTACTATTGCTGCTGCACCATGTTCGGGGTCCTACAGGATATAAGGACCTTAAAACTGTCAACGGTCAGGAATGCAACTTATAGAGAAGCATTAAGATGCGCAACTTTTAGAAAACGATAATCACTGGGATGAAACCATGGAGGAAGCTGTGCAGTGCCAGTCACCAGCCAAAATTAGGGATCTTTATGCAACTCTCATATCATCTTGCGGGCTATCTAATGCACATGAATTGTGGGACAAATATAAAGAGTACATGGCGGAAGATATTTTGCGAAGGTTACATGCAGACACACGAGAACATGACATACAATGAACACATTTATAATGGAGCACTTGGAAAAATTGAAGATAAAGTAATGGCAATGGTAGGCAAAAAATTAAGCGACTTTGGAATGGTAAGCCCACAGCGAACAACTGAAAATTTGAACTAAGTGATGAAATTATACGTGAAACAAACTACGATATACCGGCTTTGCAGCAGCAAGTAGCCGAATTTGTACCCCGCTTGCTTCCCGAACAAAAACGAGTTTTTGACAAAGTATTAGTACAAATTGAATCTGGAAATGGTGCACTTTTCTTTTTAGATGCCCCTGGAGGAACTGGGAAGACATTATTAGCGCAAGTACGGAAAGATAAAAACATTGTTGTGGCCGTAGCTTCCTCCGGTATAGCCGCCACGCTGCTAAGCGGGGGCCGCACTGCACATTCTGTTTTAAAACTCCCTCTAAATCTAGCCCAGGAAGAATCGCCGATCTGCAACTTTAGCAAAAATAGTGCACGAGGTATAATGCTACGACAATGCAAACTTTTAGTGTGGAACGAATGTACAATGTCGCATAAAAAGCTGTAGAAGCACTAAATCGATCTCTCCAGGATTTGCGCAGCAATACCGATGTAATGGGAGGAATGGTAGTTTTACTGGCTGGTGACTTTCGCCAAACTTTACCTGTCATTCAAAAGGGCACACCTGCAGATGAAATTAAAGCATGCCTCAAGTCGTCTATTTTATGGAACAAGGTGACAAAATTCAGTTTAACTACGAATATGAGAGTGCTATTTTATAATGTGTGTGCGATTTGTATAATGATATCAATGCTGACACACTATTAAAATTGGCGATGGGCGGTTGGAAACGGATGCTGAGGGCTGCGTTAAATTGACGAGAGATTTTTGTAATTCTGTACTAAATTAGTCATTCCGAATTAATTGCTAGCGTTTATTCAGATTTAACGAACAACATGCATGAAGACAAATGGTTAACGTGAAAGGGCGATTCTTGCAGCAAAAAATGAGAGCGTTAACAAAATAAATTCAGATATATTAAGCGAAGTAGCAGGAGAAATAACAGAGTATATGTCAGTAGATACAGTTATGGACACAGAACAGAGCACTTCATATCCCGCAGAGTTTCTAAATTCTCTAGAGTTGTCAGGTGTCACATGAAGCTTCAATTAAAATTAGGCGTCTCAGTCACGCTAATGCGAAATTTAGATGCTACTCGGTTATGTAACGGGACAAGGCTGCGTTTGACACATCTTGGACGGAACATAATCGGTGCTACAATTTTGACAGGCGTAGGAAAAGGTGAAAATGTTATTATACCACGGATCCCTATAATTCCCACAGATCTTCCTTTTCAATTCAAAAGGTTGTCGTTCCCTATTAAGCTCAGTTTTGCAATGACAATTAATAAAACGCAAGGGCAAACGTTACAGGTAGCGGGGGTCAACTTAGAAAAACCGTGCTTCTCTCATGGTCAGCTGTATGTAGCATGTTTGCGTGTGTCAAATGCCCAGAATCCACTTTCCCCAAAACATATCACATTGTGTACAGTAGCGTCTTAAAATAGTGTCAATTAATCAAAATTCCCACAGATCTTCCCTTTCAATTCAAAATTTCCTATTCAGCTCAGTTTCTTTTTAATTCCAAATGCTGCACCTCTGACGGACCTATTAAGCTCAGTTTCCTTTCAACTCAAAAGGCTGCATCTCTGACGGATCTTTTATTTGGCTCAGTTTCCTTTCAATTCAGAAAACTGCATCTCTGACGAATCAATTTAACTCAGTTTCTTTTCAAAAGTCTGCATCCCTGACGGATAATTATGCTCAGTTTCCTTTAATTAAAAAAATATCCCATTTCCATTTGGAACAAACAGGCTCTTTTCGTGCTTTCCTATACGCTGCGTTTCAAAACATTTAAATAGGCTGATGAATCAATTTTGCTCAGTTTCCTTTTAATGGCTGCATCTCTGACAAATCTATAAAACTCAGTTTTCTTTCAGTTCAAAAAGTAATGAAATCATTTCCCATACCAGCCAACCGCTAGTACAAATTAAATGATTAACTTTGATGATGATGAAAATATTTGTTCACAGAAAGCAGCATTCTCTAAGTTCCCTGATCTCCGTCTCTTCGCGTTGGCTAATGTTGCAAGTGTTGATACCCGAGAATCCCTACAAAAACATTTCGGTAACCTAAGGTAGGTCACATTACTTTTCTCGTTTCCATAGATTTTGTTTTACATAATTAATTTGTATTTATTGTTTTCTTTAGTGACAAAGCGTTGCGTGCCATCGCGACGTATCTGAATCTAGTGCCACCTGAAGGAAAGGAACAAGAAGCGCCCTGGCATCGTTTGGATAAGGATTTTCTCAGAGAGTTATTGGTAACGATTTGTGTGTTTTACCTGAGCAGCTATGTAGGTCTAGGGAAAGAGACCAGTATCACTGCGACCTAAAAGATCTATTGTGATCGCTGCTATGGCTATAGTTTACTGCTAAACTCTATGTCTTCAATGAATAGAAGGAGTGGCTTAGTTGTGAGCAATTTCACTTTTTCTGGGCGGAGTACATACATAGTTTTCCTGACGAATGTTACGTTTGCGCATTAAGGGTCCGCAATCAATTAGGATGTGCAGAGGCGTTTCTTCCGTTATGGAACAAAACCGACACATCCTTGAGTTGCTTAGTCCCAGGATGGACATGTGCATTTTGAGACAACAGTGTCCAGTTAGGACTCTTGCCAGAATGCGCAATTTATTGTATATATAATTTTCAATATTTATATCATGCACCTGGCTTAATAAACTATAAAATTAATTAGCTGACTCTTTTTCTGATACAATAGTCTTCGAGTCTAAATATGCACTTTATTGTAATTACAAATGTTGAATACTTTCTTCTACCTATAATAACGTTACAATATTGCCACACATATATTTTATATACCTAGTTATTCTATATTTATAATGCGTCCATAATTTTCTTACCTGAATCATGTTTTTTATTTTTATATGGCCACTTTTATAATCTCTATCTATCTTTCTCATAACAGATCTCCCGACATGAACGGCGTATATCACAGCTGGAGGAGCTCAACTCTATGCCTTTATATCCAACTGAAGAGGTGATATGGGATGAAAACGTGGTCCCTACGGAGATATACAGCGGGGAGAACTGCCTCGCCCTGCCCAAACTGAACCTTCAGTTCTTGACACTGCACGATTATTTGTTAAGGAACTTCAACTTATTCCGGCTCGAGAGCACATGTGAGTATAAACTTAAAATATAAAACAACAGTAGCGGTGTGATGAAATCTATTGCCACATCTAGTTCTGCAGGTATTGTAATAGTCGACTAAAGAAAGGGCCCAAGAAGATATTGTGATCTCTGATAGATACTAAAATAATTATTTTGTATAATATACTAAAATATTCAGCATTTTGGATTCAGGTTACGGGGAGGATTATGAGATTTTTTTAATACTTTTGATACTACTATGGCCAATCTCTCTGCCAGTAGTTTAGTGTAGCTTATAGCAAATTCCTGACACCGGTACTGTAAGCTGCAAGTTTATAATGATTGGTGGACAATACCATAAGGCATTATATCATCATCATCATCGTTATCATCATTACGGCCCTTCACAAGTCCACTGCTGAACGTAGGCCTCCCCCAAGTAATGCCACAAAACACGGTCCTGAGCTACCTGCATCCATCGACTTCCTGCATGTCTTACCAGGTCGTCACTCCATCTAGTGGGGGCCGCCCTACACTACGCCTACCGGTACGAGGCTGCCACTCGAAAACCTTTCTTCCCCATCGGTTATCGGTTCTTCGAGCTATATGGTCGGCCCATTACCACTTCAGCTTACTGAACCATAAGGCATTAAGTCAGACCTTTTTAACTCCTAATTGAAGGTGCTTGCAATAAAGGATAAATAAATAAAATTAAAAATGATGAAGATCAATAAATCAAATAGACAAAGTTAAATCGGCAAATTAGTATAATAAGTTAAATAGAAAATGTCGGCACAACTTAACAAACAAAGACACCCCCTACATTTATCATTTACTACTGAAAAACGTTAGAGAGCTACTGTGGCAGTGGGGATAGGAGTAAGTTTGGACACAGCAGCAAGATAAATCAGATTTATTAATACTAATACATTATACTTTATACAAATACATTATATATGTATATTATCCTATTTGTTAAAGAATAAGGATGACAAACGGGCACACAGTCCATCTGATGGTAAGTGGATGCTGAGGCTCATAGACATCTACATTTATCCTGGATTAATAATCAAAAAGCAGATGTAGTGTCACCTCTGAGGACTAGTATGGAATGCCTCGTTTCCAGTAAAAAGGATCTCCGATTCTTTACACTCACCATACGAAACACAGGCTGGTATTCTGTGAGAGCGTGGTCCTTCCCCGGTCGAGCCGATCTATTCGTGCTACAACCACTATATAGCTTCAGTTGACTCTACCATGTGTAAAATGATTTTAATACTAATGTGAATACCTACTATACGTGCAGTAATACTTATTTTATGCGTTTCAATTTATTTTATATTTAATTCTTTGAGTGGGTTGTAGCACCCAGTTCCGCAACCATGGATGCTGTAAATAAAATAAATATCGTAAATTCAAAATAAACGCAATAAAATTCTTAAGATAACTTTTAATTTAATATAATAATCCCATTCAAACACTCCTTTAGTATTCTTAAATGATTCGAAACACATTTAGCCATTAAATTATGCACTTAGTCATTTAATGCAAATTTACTTAGATTGAAGAACAAACTACTGCATTATTCGCTTATTTGTAATAGATAATGTTATAAAGATATGATCAATAACCTAAATATAACCGTGACAAAGAAGTGAGGTAAATATGAGATTACAAGATATTATTTTAATATTTTTTAAAAAAAAAGAAGGAAAGAAACTATATTCATCGCTACAAAACAGTATACATACATACTATACACAAAAAAATAATAATAAAATAACCTAATGAATTGCAGGAACGAAAAAACCACTGACAGAGTTATGCTGTTAAACTATAAAAAAGACAGAAAATAATTTATTTTAGTAAGCAAGTAATAAACAAACCTTTCGATCCATGAAGTTCGTTTCGAAGTGAAGTTTTGAAGTGCTTACCTCATGCAGTACATTCAGCTGATTGATTAACAAGGCTGTCACGATAAATTGATGGCGGTAAATACATCAATGACACTATCACTACCGCCCATCTAAAGTCCGCTGCAGAACATAGGCCTCCCCTATAAACTGCCACAAAGTACGGTTCTGCGCCGACTGAACTAACTGAGTTTCATCAGGTTTTCCCTGTGGGGTTGTCTAACACTTGCCAGTACGAGTACAGTACACTTCCACTCGAGAACCTTCCTGCCCCATCAGTTGTTGGTTCTTCTAGCTATATGACCTGCCCTTACTTCAATTTACTGACCCCGTGGGCTATGACGGTTAACCTTGTTTTTCTGTGGCTATCCTTGTATCGCAGTGTTATTCCGAGCATATTTCCATTTCCATTGCACGCTAAGTGACGTAGAGCTTTCTCATCCCTTACGCTGAAGTCAAAGGTACAAACTAAGGGTAACGAGTGTGTAGAGTGAGGGTAGGGTTCTGAGCCACTATGGTGAGTATGGGCAAATATAATAGTAGGAAAGTATCACGCATATCCTGATAAGCTCTTAAAACAGTCGTCCCGAACTTACGTCTATGGATCTCGAGACGTGGAATTAAGTTCACATTTTGACTTTCAAATTTCAGACCTATCACAACAACTTACAAATAGAAATAAAATAACAGTTATTATATCATCAAGGAACTATATAACACGAATATAACACTTAATTCCAAACTCTGACTCTAACTATTGGGTCACTCTTTGTTCAAACATTACTCATGGTGATGTATGTCTATCATTACGGTAATAAAGCGATTGTAATTGAAAAATGGTTGTTTGAATCGTCATTATGCAACCTTGATGTTAATGCATCCGTAATTGTTATATTTTATGAGCTTAATAACTGTAATAACGTAAAGGTATGGGGCATTTGATTGCATATAATCATTATACACTATGTTTCACACGTTGTATATCTCTTTAGATTACGGCTTAAAGGTCTGTACATTATGCCGGACAACTTTGATAGTGATGTCATCCTTGCTTCATCTGTTTCTGTTTAATCCACAAAGTATATGTCGTAAGTGCAAAGAGATTGTTAGCTTTGTTATATGAACTGAATTAGCCTTCAAAACAGTATCAGGATTACGAGGAACCATTTTTACATTTTAAAAAAGATCTGCTGCGATTCAGACCTCGGATGACAGGTATATACTCAAAGCCGCGGATCGCCTCCCAAAAAAAAAATTATGTGCTTCACTGTTAGCTAAGATGATTGAGATCTATCCCTTTCAGACCCGTGGCGTGACGGCGCTACCTAACGAATATTACAGAACTGATTTAGGGCAAGTAACATGCGTACATTACAAAGATGGGGTCTTAAAAAATCTAGGAAAATGGGAAAACTGTTTTCCACGATACTCACGATCGTACTACGTCGGGCCCAACTAGAGCTACCCTCACAATCGTGAGGGTAATAACAATATTCAAATAAAATTAAAAATTAGGAATAATTATTTATTTTATAATCAAAATTAACGTAATTTCTTATTGCTAATAAGTAACAAAAATATAACGCTTCTTTTAACCTATATTTTTGGAGTAATTAGATATAATAAAAAATTAAGAACTAGGAACAAGGCAAACAATCGAGATCATTAGTTTATAATTACTAGAAGGAATAGACATGAGAAAAATATTTAAAAAGAAATTTTTTCATTATGGAAAACATAGAAACAATGCTTATCTTTAGTACTACAAAGATATACATTGCATTTTGTGCACCTTACTTTTGAACGGCTTGTACAACCTGTCACTCGGCAACAGAGAGGAGCTTTTAGAGAATCACGTACGGGTCAATAGTTATACCCATCGAGACGTTTATCTATAGTTGGAATAGGTGCGGGTTGATAATGGGATCTTGAAGGCATCTCTGTCATTTCTTCGAATTCTTGTCGGGTGGGTTTTCTGGTTGAACCGCCAACCACCAATCAGGCACATATTTTAAAGTTCTGAAAATCCATGATATTAGAGTTCTAAACTTTATTTCTGTCACATGATTGGCGATACTCATACCAAGAGTTCACCATGGCCAAGTCAAACAAATGCATTATTAACTTGATTGGCCATTTGCGAGTTTTATGCCATGATCTGTAGAACTCCATCATTTGGTCGCTGACGTTTAGGCCTCCCATGTGTTCGTTGTATTTTTTATCATATCAGGGCAAGTTACTTCGATGTATGATTTTGTAATTATATCGTAACGTTGGACCTTATGCAATGGCTGGGCTCCAATGGCAGTTGAAGTAGTTAATACTAATAACTCGTAAATTTCTTCAGTAAAGTACCTATCAAAGTATTCACTTGGAGTAAGTACCTCTTCCGTCGACTCCGAGATCAGTGTAGGCATGGGTTTCCCGAAGAATCGTCTGCGAGTCCATTTATTCGACAATGATGGACTTGCTACTGTTGAATCTCTTGCTTCTTGCTCGTCTTCGTCATCCGAGCTAGAACTAGGTAGCTCACCAGGTGGATGCCAATCATTATCATCGTCGAAGTCCTCGCCCAAATCCCAGTCAGCCAGTTGATCCATTACAGCACCAGAGTCAAAAGCCAAGCTATTTCTATTCATAACGATGTATCAAATAGGCTAAAAAGTAAAAAAGAGGGTTTTAACATAAAATAATTGGTATTAAATAATCACTAATCTGACCAACGTTGGGCCCGAACCCTCACGATTGTGACATCTAAAAGTAACCTCGAAAAAGACAAACTAAATACGCGAAAGGACGAATAAAAACATAATTTATCGAGAATTTAGCTTTTTTCAAACGAATGATTGCAATAACAATATAGTTTTTACTTACTTTTACGTGACAAACAGGTATGTTTAATTTTGGCGCGTAACACGTGATTTTTGCTAGGTGGCGAATGGCGCCTGAGTCAAAATTATTGTAATTAATTCCACTGCTCTTTGTCATAGTAAACCGAACTACACGCACGATCGTGCGACGCTGTCCCCGTTCGCTCACGGCGATTGTTTAATTTTATAAAAATTGACAAAGTCACCGTCACAATTGTGAGTACTGGGACCGAAAGGGCTATACTCTTTACAATCAAGACAGCTTCCTCCCTCTTTGATTGTCTATTTTAACTTAACGTGGTCGCGGTGCACCTGCTAACTTACGAACGACGCTCTGACGATTAAAACATGTATCCAACGACTTCAAAATGCGGAACCCAAACCCTATAGTCTGGTTACGGGGAGCGAGCAGCATGACCAGTGCGATGGTGTCGGCGCGGCGCTGTGCTACTGCTTAAACTAACATACTGGGTGCTTTCTTGAAGAAGCTTATTTCAAGTAGTGGATTGAAAAGGCTGATAAGATATTTATGAATCATTATATAGAGTCAATCTATGGGATGGTTTATATTAAACAGTGGATTTTTAAGCTATAATGAATAAACTAATTAAAAAAAATACAATCCATAACAGTAAGAGCATCTCACACTTAACAAACATTTTCTCTGCCCTGCTTTCGAACTAATTATAGTAATGAGCGAAGACCAAGAACAATACAGTCTTGGTATCGGTCTCTCGGTCTTGCTTGTTCGGTCTTGGTCTTGCACAAATGCTTGTTGTTAGTCTAGGTCTTGGTCTTGCGTATTCAGTCTTGGCCTTGGTCTTGCTCATTCAGTCTGTTATTTACTACTTACGTCGTTTTGAGTTTTTTCCAGGATTTTATAGGTATAAATTATAAATGATCAACAATTAATATCTATAATTAATTAAACTTAATTTTACAATAATCAATAATTTTATCGCATTATATTATAATACAATATAATATAATTTATTTTAAATCTGATAACCGTAAATTGATGCACAGTAGCCATAGATCCGACTCACTACTCCATCTATTGCGATGCTTCCGTATCTTAAATTAAAAATAAGTTAGCTTAGCTCTATATTAACCATGTGTTAACCAGACATCGTAACATAATAGTTACTTCTAGAATGTTCTTGTAGATCCTTTTTTCAGCCAACGGTAAAGTTTACCAGTACTTTTTTCATATTTGATGTGTTAGTGGGGTAAACTAGAAATGTTAAACACACAAAATGTTTTGGTCCGATAAAAACATATATTGAAGTTATAATTTTTTTTGGATTATGCAAAACGAAGACCAAGACTAATTTTGCTCATAACTAATTAATTCTGAAAAACGATCACTATCAAGTAACTATATAATACAAGTTTTAGTGACGTTAATATTTTTATGAAACGAACATATTTTTTCAGTTAGTTTGTTATTAAGTGTTCAATACCTATGTAATATTTTTATATAATTCGTAGCGTTAGTGACCTTTTTTAAAACATTTTTTAAAGCCCCATTAGTATTTTCTCTAGACAGTACATAAATTGCACAAAGACATACATCCAGACCCGGAACAATTACTTGTAGGTTATGCAAATACATGTTCCGTACGGGATTGGAATCCGGGCCCTTTAGTGCCACTACTTACTGATAAGCCACTGCGCCACGGAGTCGATATTCCTATATGCAACAAGTTGATTTTGTATGAAATATTGTATGTTGTGATACTGTTTTAATGCTCCTAATAAAAAGACTGTTGCGATTCCAAAGGCATGACCCCCTTTCGTAATTCATGGTTACTCCAGGATAGAACACTTGCCATAAAAAACTGGCCAAGGGCGTGTCGGGCCACGCAAAATGTAGAGGTAGGGTTCTCGGCCACAATGACGGGCAACTACGGAACGGTGAACTTAGAATAGAATTTTTGGTCAAAAACTTCTCCGCGATCATGCACACGGAAAAGACTGTACCTTAGCATACAGTTTTCCAACAATGCTAAGAAGGCTGATACCACGGTAGTTTTTACAGTCCTGCTGCGACCCTTTTCCCTTATATACTGGGACTATCACAGCTTTGCACCAGTCTCCCGGTACCCGCTTCAGTTCCCAGCATAAATTAAACAAGGTGTGCAGCAGGCCTGCCACCACTTCCTCTTCAGCCCTTAGCATTTCGAGTGAAACTCTATCATATCCGGCTGCTTTACCTGCTTTTCATTGCTTTCATTATTTCATCTATACTTATCTTGCTATCTCTTTCCTCTTCTTTTGGAGTATCTATTTAGTTCATACATCTCCTCACTCATAAACACGCTTTCAAAGTATTCCTTCCATTTCTTTAAACTCAAAAGTCGATCATTCAGAATATAACCAGTCTCGTCTCTTATAGCATTCATTATAGGCTGTTGAATGTAGTTCCCTGGCAGTTCTTACGATTTTCCAGAACGTTTTAATATTTACCTGGAAGTTATCCGATATTCTTCTGTCATTCGTTCTTTCTTGCTTTTTCCTTTCAACTACTTCTTTTACTCTCTTATTTAGATGTCTAAAGACTGCCTTTTTTCTTTCAATATCATCATTTGTACCGCGGGAATTACCAGCCTTTGTTGCTAATAAATCTACACACATGACTATTGAAAAATACCACTTTAACTCCTAAGTCAATAAATTGTTGTTCTTACCCCAATGGTTTTAAAAGACCTATCCAATGATACCCCACACGATGCAATAGACGGATTAAAAAATTAATCCTCCCTTTATTTGTATGGGAGGGGAGGTACTCAAAATAAAAATGTTTCACAGTTTTGTAGGCGTGATTAATATATATTACTATGCTAAATTACAGATTTGTAGCGCCTATGGTCTCTGAGTACAACCGCGGACGGACGATCGGACGGACAGACATGGCGAAACTATAAGGGTTCCTTGTTGTTTAACTACGGAACCCTAAAGGTACAGTTCCGTAGCCGACTGCAGACAGCAGCAGCAAGCGACGTGCCGTCGCGACACAACCGGTTTCTATGTAGTTCCATGAAATACGTTCCGTGGCTAGCGACAGGTCGTTGCCTGGCGGTAGACGACACTGTAGCTCGACCACAGATAAGAGATCAGTAGCATAGATAAGAGTGTATATACGGAAAATCAGTAGTGTCGCTAACGCCCAAGCCACAACACGTTGATGAGTTTCACCGGTTTCGAGGAAGATTCCGTCACTTCCTCTGCATTTCAACATAGGGCGTGTGACTTTTCGTCTTTTCACTTTATACTTGTATAATAAAAACAAATCGTCATATCTTCTTCGTCTTCTAACAAAAGATACAAAAATAAATCGCGATCGCTAATTTCAAGCACGTCAGACATCAAGTCCAACTGAACACTCGGAATAGACTGGACATGGGCTGATACCGCCTGCAGTGAGGTTCGAATTCATGACTGCAGCGATATGACGCCACGACATGTCGCAGCGACACGTCGTCTGCTGCTGCTGTCTGCAGTCGGCTACGGAATTGCACCTTAAAAAACGAGCTTACTCCTTTCTAAAAGACTGGCAACGCACTTGGCACCTGGTGTTGCAGTTGTTCATGGGTGGCGGTCGATACTTCCCGTAAGCTCCTCTTCTATAAAAAAAAAAGCTATGCGCAAGCGCAAGCTTTTAAAGAGACTGAATCAATTGTCTACATTGGGATGTTTAATATAAACTTATTTAAAAATATACTAGATCTTCTAAATCGGTAATTTTTGTTCCAGATGAAATCCGACAAGATATTGAAGATGCTGTGTACCGATTGGCGCCATGGTAATAATATTTATTTTACGATAACCTACTCTAGATCCGCCATTCAACAAGATAATGTAACCTTATACGCAAATTAATGTTGTCGAGAATAGCTCGTATTTTTCTTTTCTACAATAGCAATACCTATTTGATTTTTGTAAACACAACCAGAAATTTTAAATTGTATAATAGTAAACTTACTTAAAAATAACCGGTGGAATAGACGTGTTAATATTAAGTAGAGCCCCCGTCTAGGCAAACGTAGTATGGGACGCTCCCTGACTAGATGGAGTGACGAACTGCGCAAGGTGGCTGGTAGGTGATAGGTGGTAGGTACTAGATGCACATAGCTGAAGACCGAGCGCATGGAAACATGCTTGGGAGGCACACTATTACCAACAGCAGATAATACTTACTATTTAAAATATTTTGTAATATAAACATTCAAGATTTGAATAAAATTATTGTACTTGTGTTTCTCATTAAATTTAAGGGACATAGGATATTTTTCTATACTTATTTTTCGTCTTCCTTTAATGTACTCTTTTTCGAGTACCTGACTGCGTAAGTAACCGGTTGACGTTTCATACCCAAAACGAGCAAGAACGATTTCGGATAACATTCACAAACGTGTTGTACAAAAAATAAATGTTATTAAAAATAAACTTGCTAAGTGGACATAAGAAAGATCTTTTAAAATTTGAACGTAAAGTATACATTAAAAATAATATGTAAAAAATATTCATCACTATTATACAGCCTTTCGCAATCCACTGCTGAATATAGGCCTCCGCCAATGAATGTCCCAAAAACACGATCTTGAGCCACCTGCGTCCATCGTCTTCTTGCATCTACTACCAGGTTGTCTCTCGATCTAGTGCGAGCCGTCCTACAGTTCGCTTACCGGATCGAGGTTGTCACTCGAGAACCTTTCTTCCTCGTCGATAGTCGGCTCTTTGCTATATGGATGGCCCATTGTTACTTCAGCTTACTGATCCGTTAGTATGTATCGGTTACCTTGGTTTTTCTGCGTATATATCTTCATTTTGAATTCAATCACCCAGAGAAACTGGAATAAATAGCGCGAACTAACACTAACATCATTTCTATGTAATCTGGAAGTGTCTTTGAGAACCAAAGGCAAGATCTATAAAACCACCGTAAGACCAATGACGTGGACAGAAACGTGCGCTATGAAGAAGATATACGAGCAAAAGCTATACCGGCATGTGTATGCTTACGTTGGGCAGCGGTTTTAGATAAAGTCCATAATGAACATTACAGGTAGTTTTAAAGTAGCGCCTATTGCGAAGATCGGATAATCATGTAGTTAATAAGTGTCATTCCATAGCGAAACAAATGAAAGTGATTGGAAGACCGCTAACGACCCGGATGAAGAATGCCTAGAAAGACATGAAGGTGTTGAGTCTGGTCAGGATTGACAAAGCCGACTTCGCGTAACGTGAAGAGGCGAGGACGAAAAATAAAAAGAAGATACATAATATTTTATAGTTAAAGTTCTTAATTGTCAAATTCACTTGCATTTCACACGAAGCAGACCGCATAGACTTTATAAACACACAGGATACATTTATAGCATTTTTTCTTTTACCTTTAAAAACAGCATTTTCCATATTTACCTTTATTGGCAACTGTAGCCCTTAGCATTACTTGCTCTAACATTACTCTGTGAAATAGTAAATGCCCAAATCAAAAAAAATTATTGTGAGCTCAACCGTTATCTCAATTTGCGTTTAAACATTGTTAATAATGACTTCCTTTAATTGAGCGCTTACAGTTTTGAGCGACTTCGGATAAAACGACCTTGTCGTTCACAAGTTATTGAACGAACTAAGAAACACATGGGCATCTGAAAGATTTTTTTGGGTTTTAATTGTTCATTCCTGGTAGATCGTTTAACACTATATCAGTATAAGTATTATTATTATGTTCCCCTGTTCGATCGATTTAGATCGCGATTCAACTAAATTATTAAATTATGAAATTAAATTTGGTAATTTTACTACAATAACGTCATCTTAAATTTTTCTCGACTTCACGGACTTTTTCATTGTACCTACACAGTGAAACTCCTACTTAGCACTACCTCCATGGGCCTAGAAAAAAAGGCACACACACACATGCACACCATAGTAAGTCTACCGTCCGCCATACGCTCCAATCCGCGCTCGCGTAGTTACTCAAGCTCAAGCAGTTAAACGGCCGCCATTGCGCTACGTCAATTGTTTCTTAGTGACACTCTGTCCGCCCTTTTTTCTAGGTCCATGACTACCGCGTCCAAAGGTGTAGTGTTCATAAACATGGAGACAAGTATAATAATGCTGCCCCCGTTTTTATTAAATATAGTATTTACGAGACTTATTTTACCTGTAGAAATATAGTTGATGGCGAAAAAAAAATTGTTTTAAATTAATGTTTTGTTTTTAAAGCAATATTTTTTACTATTTAGACCCTTTAAATATTAAGGATACTTGACTTTTTAATGTAGTTGGCAACTCTGATCACAATATGCTTAAACCAGACAATCTACGATTCGACAATGAGACACTGAGCCGAGATTTCTCCAACGGGTTCATAATGATGTCCTCCCACTTGTCGATTTCAACAACAACGATAACTTACGAATACTGTCGGATGTTTACAACTAAAACAAGCTTGCTCGAAGGTCGGAAGTATGCAAGGACGCAGTGTCAGGGATACGGGAATAATTGCAACATAAAAGAATTATGTTTATTACACTTAATACTTATGATGGCTTTCCGGCCCAAATTCGAAAACAGACCAACTAAGCCACGCGTTGTGTATAAGATAAAATATTATACAAGTTATTGAAATAGTCAAAATATAATTAAACAAAAAATTTTGTACAACCAACTTCAATATAAATAAAATGAGAACATTATCAATGTAGTCAAAGTCAATTAAATACGCATTTATAAGGTAATTCAAAAACTACTGGTCAGATCTTGATCAAATTTGAGAAATCACCAGCTTTCAAATAAAAAAAATTTCAAAATCGGTTCATTTAGAAAAAGATCTGAGGTAAAACACAAAAAAAAAACAATCGAATTGAGAACCTTCTCCTTTTTATGAAGTCGGTTGAAAAGTAAACAACATTTCGCTTAGCGTTCCTAATACGCAGAATCACACAGACAGACTTGTAAATTGGTCTGCGTAGTTTACAGAAGCATTTCGATTTGATTGCAATAAATTGACTCAACTTGTTGAAGCTAGGCGATAGGTAACATTTTGCTCGAAATTTTACTTCATTTGGAATTATTTTTTACGTTTCACATCACATCACATCAATTGGTAGTAAATTCTGACCAGAAAAAATAAAAATGCTGCAATGAGCGCGCATTTTTATAATTAATAGAACTTATAAATTTGCAGCTTGACCGAGGACTTCAATCAATGCCAGTTGCTTTTTTTAGCAATAAAGTTTAATTAGCAGATAATAATAATCTATTGCACGATACATCATGTAGGCCTCTCCAAGTTTTTCACAATGTTTTATGTGATCTTCAACTCTATTATAAGAGCCTCAAGTCGCCTTTAAAGCTTGGCATTTAAATTCTTACAATAATAAAAGCTTACAATTTTTTTTCTCTACATTATATTTGTTTTCCTTTAGATCTGAAAAGCATCGTAGGTATGTTTATTTTTTTTAACAAAAGAACAAAGTACCTTGATCCTCCATTCCCACCCAATCTTATTCCATGAACGACCATAGTGAGATTTCTATAAAGATAACGTGAATATAGCGTTTCGGATTTTTTCAACGTAAAGTAGCCACTAATATATTATATTTTTTGTAGCATTTTATCAAAATATAAAAAATATAGAATTCAGTCGAGATCACACCAAAATTTTGGCAGTTCACAGTGTAATGTTACGTGCCAATACAGCTATGTGTTACCGATGCCTATAAAATGAATGTGTAGTGAATGAATAAATGAATGTGTAGTCCTGAATAATGATCTTCTGATCTTGAACATATTGTTAGGATTATAGAATTATCGCAGACGTATTTTTTTAAATATTTTCTATACTATTTTTTTTTCTTAATCTTTTTTTTTTCAGAGTACATGTTGTGTACATCATCCTTATAAAATGATTATCAATTAACAGTTCCAGACATAATAATAAAAAAATATTAACTGCAAGAATTTATTCTTTAAAAAAATATTTTCTAAAAGAGAATGATTCGCAAATTATTTAATATCAGAAGACATATGTTATTGTGAATTATCTTTGCAGGCGGGCAGAAGATGGCAGTGTTTATTTTGGTGGCTGGGCACGAATGGCGCACCCGATTGAAAGCTTCGCGGTGGTAGAAGTTGCAAAACCTAACATTGGAGAGAAAGCACCGTCCCGCGTGCGAGCAGATGTTACAGTCATCCTTAGCGTGAGAAACGAAATAAAGCAAGAATGGGAAAACCTTAGGAAGCACGATGTCTGCTTTTTAATTACAGTCCGACCAACACAAGGCATAGGTAAGTGCAAAATGTACATATCCCTATGTACTTTTTATGTGCTACATATGATAATAAAAAAAATATTGGGCAAAAGGGCTCTGTTCCAAGCTCTCTATTTTGTATTATATTCAACATAGCGTCATGTTACATTCAGGGACCCGTTAATTATGATGTGCAGCTTCATGCGTGCTCCTGCAAAGTAAAGGCATGTGTACCGTTACTAACCCCCTTCATTTTTTCTGGAACAGCTTTGGTCCGGTACTTGTCAATGAATGGTTAATTTCCCAATCATCATCAACCCAGTTTTGATTACGTCAAAACTGGGTTGATGATGATTGGGAAGTAATGTTAAACTGAGCTACTTGTAGAGATCTTTTAGCTATCATTACAGGGAAATTTTTTACGTCAGTGAATTTCAAATTGGTTTGCAATACCGTTTTATTTAAACACTTGCTGATGTTCAATTTATATTTGAATAGAAGTATCTTCTATTATTTATAGGAATGAAGTAACTGTTGACCATTTTCCCAGGCACAAAATATGACTATAGAAAGAGTATGGTAGAGCAAGCTGGCATTGTTTACGTGAGAGGCTGCGAGGTAGAAGGCATGTTGGATGCATCTGGGAGGGTCATTGAAGAAGGTCCAGAGCCTCGCCCTGAATTAGACGGAGATTCCAGAACCTTCCGTCTATTACTCGACCCTAACCAATACAGGCTAGATTTGGATCGTGCTAGCAAAGGAAAGGAGGTAAGCAGTAAGGTTGTCTAATGTAATTTTATTTTACTTTATTATCTTTATTATTCGCTAACTAAATGAGTCAGGGAGACATGAATCCGACGTTCGTCCTAAAAATTTACTACGCTAGTTAGATGTACTTCTAACGTTTTTGGGTTTGCTTTATTCATTATATAAAAAGAACGCAACAAGCATACCTAACTAGAAAATTCGTACATTTTACAAGTAAAATGGAGACGAAATTAAATTAGTATTGAATTAATACCAATTGAATGTCCTCTCCCTTTGGCTAAGTAATTCGGCGCTAGGTGATTCGGAAGAATTAATAAGATACGTGAGAGAATATCAGTAATATTCTGGTTTAAAAAATATTAAATTTCTAAAATAATTATTAACTGCTGTGGTTCGTATAATAAGACCCGGAGACCCCTTATAATCAAAAAGAGGCATTCCATCTTAGTCTTAGGGGCGACAACTAATCTAAATTTTGACTCTTTTTCGAGGATAGAATGTAGATATCTAGGGGCCACAGATCCACTTAACACCAGATGCGCTCTGTTCATCTTTTGTCACCCTTATCTAAATCGTTTTTTAACGTTAATATTATACATTAATAACTAAAAACTACGTTTCTACTGAAATCAGGATGTGTACGAGACATTCAATATAGTAATGCGACGTAAACCAAAGGAGAACAACTTCAAAGCGGTGCTGGAGACTATCCGCGAGCTCATGAATACCGAATGCGTAGTGCCCGAGTGGCTTCACGACATTGTACTGGGATACGGAGATCCGGGACAAGCACATTACACCAGGTAACTAAACACTAAAAGTAAACTTTACTGTCAGAATATCAGATCATCAGGGAAAGATATTTGTTTATAATAATGATGCTTGTGTGTGTACCGTTGCTACCTTGAACACGAACATGAATATAGTTAAGGTTAGGTGCAAGATACACTAGGAGATTTTAACATAGTTATCATGCTAGACAGGTGGTTTAACAATTTTTTTTTATAAAAACGATTCCTCCACAATAGGATTTTTTTTCTGTATAACATCTAGACCCGGCACAATTATTTGTACAAATACTTGTTCCGTGCGGGATTAAAACGCGGGCCCTATCGCAGTCACTCATAGCTAAGCCTCGCGCCCGCCCCTGCTCTCGCCATAGCGCCCGCCTCAGGGCCCACCACGCTCTGGCCCGGCGCGTTATAACACCAGCGTCGTGGCCTCGCAATTTGTACTTTAGCTCCGTCAGTTTACAGTCTACATCTTATTGCCAAGTTCTATCGTATGTTCTTGTACTAGCGAGTGCGAATTATCAGGAAGATGCTGGCGCCCATCTCCTGTTGCAGTTTCTCCCTGTCGCCTCTGACGTCACTCACAGGACGATATGGGGCAATGTATATTCTTACACCGCCACTACACGTTTACTTGGTACATTTAATAAACGAAATCTCTAGATATAGTAAATAAAATCAGCTACTGAATCTATTTCAGTAATTTTTAATATACATATAATTCTTCATCATATATATAATGATATTTCTTCTCAAAATCACTATAAAATCAACGGATCACAAACAAAATTAATGAGCCTTCCAGCCACCTTCACACACGCACAAAAAACTAAACATCCACAAAATTATTATTTATTTATTTTATTCTTTATTGCACCAAAGATTTTGTACAAAAGGCGAGCTTAATGCTATATGGCATTCTCTACCAGCTAACCTTGGGTAGAACAGAGAGTGAGTTATGGGCAGTAAAGATGTCATGATCTCATTCAATTCAAAATGTACATGCTACACATACATATAAATATATATATATACACATATATATTATATACACTTTACACACACATACATATGTATATACATATATATATACATATATACATACACATATACATGTATAAATATATATCTCCATAAATTTATATACAAATAACTATAAACATATAAAGTAAGTGGACTCAAATTTGTTGGTTACGGATATATTCGTATAGTTTTCTTTTAAACACGTTTTTAGCAGGTATTATGCGCAGGTCAACAGGCAATTTGTTCCAGAGGGAGATGGAAGTTAATGTGAAAGAATTTGACATAAACCCAGAATGGTGGAGAGGAGTAGACAGTAATAAATTGTGTGAAGACCGGAGATTGAGAGAATGAGTGTCACTACGGAATTGGAATCTTTCTTTTAGGTAAAGGGGTGAGGAAGAATCATTAAGAACTGAAAACAGAGAGGACAGCATTCGAAAATCTCTGCGCTGGCGTATAGTCAACCACTTTAATTGGGAGCGAAATTCTGATACGTGATCGTATTTGCGCAGACCAAAGATGAATCGTATGCAGTTGTTAAGTAACCTGTCCAACCTGCTTAACAGCTCCTGAGAGATATTAGAAAGACAAACATCGGCATAGTCAAATAATGGAAGAATTAGAGATTGGATGAGTAGAAGCTTAGTTGAAGGAGGCAGAAAGAACTTAAGACGATAGATGGAACGAAGTATGCCTGTGACTTTACGACAAATCTCGGACACCTCCAACTAAGGGTCGGGTCAATTTATGTTTGTGAATTATGATAAAAAAATACGATAAGACTGGTCACAGACTGATAATTCGGCAAAGCAAATCCCCAATCTGTGGGCTAGTGATACACCGACTAACCTGTCGAGCGTGAAGAGTTTGGGTTCTTCATGAAATGCAAGCCTTATGGCGTAAAGCCTGTTGATGTTAAAAATGCAACATCAAAACGTGAGTCTTTTGTAATACATACACCAAAAGAGGAGATTAATTTACCGACTCTATCTCTGTCTCACTGCTTGTTTTTTATTCGACTGCAATCGGGGTGTTTTCGAGGCAAGAATGAAAAGGATTTTGTTATGCTAAGACAGTGTGATACAACATCTAAAGATGGGACCACCAGATAGGATTGTAAACCAACTCTTGCTTATAATTGGTAAAAAAGGCAATTATAATTACTATAATACTCCTATGTACATTTATTATAATTATATTCCAAATGCTTCACTACTTACATGTCTGGGAACCTATGTATTTGCCCAAAAATTGCCTTTTTAATATTGTTTTTGTAAATGCAGAATGCCCAACGAAATCCCGACTTTGGACTTCAACGACACGTTCCTGGATATGGAGCATCTGCGGAACAGTTTTCCCGGGCACGAGATTAAGGTGCAAACAGACGACCCACGGAAACTTGTCCGCCCGTTCAAGTAAGTAAAATACAATTTATCTAACATCGAAATTATATAATTAAAATCATAATTATATCGATTAAAATGTTTTTCTATTGGAGATTTTACCAATTTAGACGGCTACGACTTTCTAATATTATAGAAATTATCGACTGCCCAGGAATATCAACCTAAAGCCTAAGGCCAACTGAAATGACCTTTTTGGCGGAAAACAAAGCTTTTCATTTATTAATTACTCGAAGCCTCTAACATGGGTATAGATGCAGGGAGAAAGGAAGTCAGTCACAATACTAAAACTTATGTTTTATAAAACTTGGTATTATAATCTTTGGACTGTTTGCCGAGTGGTAGCGGCAAAATGTCGTATCATCCCATGGATGTCTTAAGAAGTAGCTTAGCGAAATACCCAAAAAATTGTCGCCTCCTTTAGATCTAAGGCGGTAAAAGTATTTCGCCCCAGATCCAGAAATACATAGTCAAACTGGCGCTGGGAGCTGCGTCAAATGTGCAAGATATTTGGTATTGCTGTCGCCAGTCCGTCTGCCAATCGCGGTGATTGACCACACATTTCTTCGTAGAAGAGAATTCAGCAGGAAACTTTTCTACAAGTAAAATATTCAAGTAACAAACTAGCAAAGTTGACGCTAGGTCACAGGCACAGTTTTGGTCCTAAGGACTGAGATGAAATACTTCATCACCAGTAAAAGGGTCTCCAGTTCTCGTTCCTCACATATACTACTACTACTATTACTAAATGTTCATACTTGATAATCCCTATCATCAAAATAAGTGTGCTGGTTAGCAGATAGAATGTACTAAATGAAGCGAGATAATCGAATCAATATCGGTTATATCATATTTCAGCTCGCCAAGCGCGCCAGATGGTAACCAGAAAATAATAAATTACGTCACTTTAAAGTGTATACATATGGAAATTTCGTAATATTTTAAACATAGTTTAATCGTATCATAAAAACACTATTATTGAATTAAAACATTGGTTTCAGTATTTGATAGTCAAATTTTAACCCACTAAGTTTCAAGGTTTATGCACAGACAGCAATCTAGTCACCGTTAAGTCGTCGATCAGTCGCGTCTACGTTAGACATGATGTGGTGTATCAAGAACACACTACACATCCGATGCATCGGTTGTGACGTAAATAACGTGTGGGATCGATATCACACTACTTCTACTAACTATACTTTTGACGCGACTAAGCGGTGATCGACTTCCTGCATATCCGGTGCCTCTCTGACGTTCCTTGGGAGGAGGCCCATCTTCAGTATGTTAAGCAGTGGACTTGTGAAAGACTGTAATGAACTAATTAAAACATGTGCGCAGTTCACACGCGGTAGAAGTGAAACCTCTAAATGAAATGAAATATAATTGACTTAACTAAACATGACTAATTTAATATAATATTCTATCTCATTCTCTCGCGAGCTAAATTCTATAGATCTATAATATGTTTGTCTCTCTTTAGTGGTACTTTTTCGTTTTATCGAATTTCAAATCTCAGGGACTTTTCACTTCAAAACAAAAACGGAGGTCGTTGACGTGACTGATGTAATGTATGTATGTGCAGATTCCGGTTTTACTGTTTTAAAAAGGATATCATAGCTATGTCTCGCACATCACGAGAAGAATGGATATCGCCTTTAAACCAGTTTCGTTCGACGCTCAATTGCATAATAAATATGTGATTAACATTTCATTAAAATAGATTCTGCACTTATTTCTTTCTTTCTGTACTTATAAAACATAATCAAACTCACCAACTTTCACAGTTTTTTTTACAAATTATTTTACAAAGAAGTTACAAATTTCAATTTTATTATTTATGGTTGTTTGAGCTGAAATGAGAAGCTCAAAGGACTATTCATATATTGTATAATTCATTATTTTTTGTTTAATTTTATTTATTTATATAACATTTTTTCCAAAAAATAAATTATATATCTGCCCACCTCCTAAAATCTAGCAAAAAAAAAAAAGTAATTGATTGAGGACGATTTTGTACATATATTTCTTTCATTATTATTTTTATTTTTTAAAACATTAAATTCGCCTGTGTTATAAGGATCGTTAAGAAATAAAATCTATACATATGAATAAAATAACGTAATGTTGAAATAAATGGCTTCTATTAAGCTTAGAGTGTTATTGGAATGCTATTTATTTTAAGATATAAATAACCATTTAAAAAAAATTATCTGTCTTATGCCTGTCCGGGCTAATCTTGTGAAGGTCTGAACCGATTGTTATTAAACGAACAGATAGATAGCAATGCTAGGAGGGATAAATACTACAAAACACAACAACAACAAAAGGCAACAACAGCAAACAACAAAACATGAGGGATCTAGGCTACTAGATAGCCTAGATCGCTCATGTTTTATATTTTGTTAGCTTTTCAAAAAGACCCCAAAAACAGAAATAAAAATTTGATTAAATAAATTGTCTTTCTTAAATCTAAATAACGCGACATTAGACGCTATCCAGACGAAGCTGGGACGCGTAGCTAGTATTTACATAAACATTGACAAATATATATAATAATGATAATAGTTCCAGCCAATATTAAAAGTTCAGACTGATCGCACAGATACAGAAAACACTTATTGTACGATTATAGTATATTAATATATTATGCAACTCACTACGCTTTCTACCGTCATCGATCGACCGATTTCTATCACCCTGCTCTTTTGTATTTCTACGAACTATAGTAATCAATTCTTTCTCTTGCGTAGGTGCTACCTGAAGTCTTACTTATGTTTCACGAAAGTAGGTTAGCTAACAAAATAGAAGCGTAAAGCGGTTGTAATTCAATAGTAAAAACTGTATAAGTAGTCTCATCTGGGAAACTATGTACTCCGACCAGACGAAGTGAAATTGCTGTCAGCTAAGCAACTCCTTCTATTCATTGAAGACATAGGCTTAGCCGTGAACTATAGCCATAGCAGCGATCACAATAGATCTTCTAGGTCGCAGTGATACTGGTCTCTTTCCCTAGACCTGCATAGCTACTCGCATATAATTAAAAAAAAAATAAGTATTAGTTAATCGAACTGAGGTATACCAGCTATAACATAACAGTGTCTATATCCGGCGAGTATTTTTCTTATAGTCTATTTGTCAAAACAAAGATAATTTACACAATAACGAATATAAAATTTTGCTAGGGTCACATTTGAAAACGTTCTGCGAAAACAGAAGCTTGGAGAAGACGCTATGGATGAGGACGAGCCACACAAAGCTATTGTAGTGGAGCCACACGTGCAACCCAAGCGAGGACCCTATCTCTACAACGAACCTAAAAAGTAAGTTTATTTTTTCTATTATTCTTGTCTAAACGTGGTCTCTGGATCGATTCCTGCACGGGACTAATTACTTCGGGTTCTGCTCAGTGTTGCTAACATTAAAATCTAGCTTCCGTTGTAGAGAACACTATAATCCTGTCAAATCCCGTCAAGTACGGTAGACAAGTGTCAATCATTAATTTCTAGTGACCAAATCATTCTAGTACATTTCGTCACATGGTCACGTCACTGGTACATTCGGATCAATCATTCAAATGGATCTAGTACAGTAGTTGAGTCTGTGAGATCCATTGGGAACCGAACATGTTCTATTTGAGATTTGTAATAGCGCCATCTACTACATGCTATAGGTAATAAAGTCATTTTATCGAACTAAAACTTATTGACTTTCAAAGATATCACAGGTTCACAGGATATGCGACTCAAACAGTAAAGAGAGAGAATGAAATAAATAGAGTAGTTGATAGTTTTCTATATATTCAACAGTAGCGCATCATTTTGGCTGACGAACGATAAAACAGTTTCCAAGCTGTATTTAAAAGATAATGCGTCAAATGAAAATTTACTCTCTCAACTTTTTAAAGATAAGAATGTATTGCGCATTTTTACGTATTTTTAAACAAAAAATGAATAAAAAAAGCAAATCTAAAAAAAACGTAAATTTTTGTTGTCCCGTTAAAAAATCCGTTACCCGTTAAACACAATTTTTTCCCGTTGCCAACCTCGCCGTCCCGTCAAATCTAACGGGAATCCCGTCAAACTGGAACACTGGTTCTGCTTCTTGTTCAACACAGGAAGAATCCTACAACGGGGACCAAGGTTTTTTTAAGGAAAAAGAAAAACATTTTAATGTATTCTTTTTCAGACCTTCATACTAACATGTCAAATTATGAATTTAAAAAGAGAAAAATTATCAATTTTCTTATAATCTTACAAATTATATTGATTAAACAATTTACGTATAAAATTAATTTTTATTCCACTAAACATTTAGACTTTGAATCACAGTTTTATCGCCCGCGTCTTGGTGGATGACAGTGTAAGATTTTACAAAACGCTTGTCACGATATATAGAGCATCGCTTCTAAATAAATTCTGAAATTATGATGTAAGCGATTAAAAATAAACACGAAATTTGAGTTATATTCGTCTGCGATATTTTTATCAACAGTCGCGTACTGAATATGGCCATCTCCCATTGTAGGAAGGATATACCGTAATTGGCTTGGTAAGCATATGGAGGATTGCAATATTATTAAAGATGGCGCACAACCGCACCGTCTATCGGTGGTATTTCTGGCCTTTCATAATCCTATTATAGAACTAACGGAACAAAACTGTATAATAAAATAATGGTTATTATTTAATAACAGTATTGACGTTACTTCTCTGAATTCAAAAAAAAATGTAAAATCATTTTTTTAGACTAAGGATAACGAACGAGCCCACACTCCACATACGTAAGTGGATGCTGCGGTCCATAGACATCTACATTTATCCTAAATTAAGAAATAAAATGCAGATGCTTTGTCATGCGAGAGGATTGAAATGGAATGCCTCATTTCCAGTAAAAAGAATACCGTACGAAACAGCATTAAGCTTCTATTTTACGCTGGTATTCTGTGAGAGCGTGGTCCTATTCCATTTGAGCAGACCCATTCGTATTACAACCATAATAATAGTTGCGGCGTGGTTCTACCAAGTTAAAAACGTTAAAAAATGTGTGTTTTCGGGTCATATTTACTATTATGTACTTAACCTATATTATTTTGTATAAAATACTAAAATAAAAGGTTTAGATAATAAAACTGTCTACCTTTCAACGACACTGATATTTGTTAAAACAACATTAACGCCGTTCTTGTCGTATTATTTTAAACCTTTTATTGATCAATCTATTCCCGGTTTAAAATAACCGTAGACAGAGAAACCTATAGACAAATTGACGCCTTCTTTCGCATTCGCACACGAAAAAGATAGATTTATGCATACGTCTTGCATAGAAATGAGATAGAGCGGTGTGATTGTTTGTCCCTTTCTCCGTGCCGGTTTTTTTGTTTAGCAAACTCTACAGTTTGCTAAACAACTTTGACAGCGTAGCGATTTAAGAAGTTTACAAGTTGGTTTAAGTGAGAAAAAAGTCTTTTGTGAGCTTAAGATTGGTGAATGTTGGTCAGTTCAGTTCTTAGAACAGTTAAAATTTTTATCTAAATGTGTTTAAAAGTCATAAAGATTATTGTATAACCTAAAAATTCGTTATCGTCCTTTCTCACTCGAGGCCACGCCGATTATTAGTCTATAGGTTTCTCTGTCTACGAAAATAACAGATTATGGTACGCCGCAGAGTATATTTGTATAACTAAAATGGTATGCCTTAGAGCTTTTGTTCTAACGCCATGTATAAGCAAATCGCTTGTTCTGGATATTTATGTCGGCAATGTATTTATAGCGTCGCGTACCGTATATTACGTTTATGTAAATTTGGTAGTTTGGTCTCTATTATAAATACTAATTTCGCCTGTTAGTATTGATTTATTTTTTATCTATAAACCAACACTGAAATTTTCGCATAAATCGTAAATAAAAAAAATATTCCACATTTCAGAAGCCCACTGCTGAACATAGGCATCCATGGATAACTTCATAGTAGGGGGGACGAGACGGCAACCACATTTTTTAATTTTGGGTTGTTATTAGAAACATGATGCTATCCATCTCCTGTTTCATTCTTCTTTGTCGCCTCTTATTCATTCTTATTTGTCGCTTCTTATTCATTCTTTTTTGTCGCCTTTTATTCATTCTTTGTCGCCCCTTATTCATTCTTCTTTGTCGCCTTTTATTCATTTCTTTGTCGCCCCTTATTCATTCTTCTTTGTCGCCCTTAATTCATTCTTCTTTGTCGCCCCTTATTCATTCTTCTTTGTCGCCCTTAATTAATTCTTCTTTGTCGCCCCTTATTCATTCTTATTTGTCGCCCTTAATTCATTCTTCTTTGTCGCCCCTTATTCATTCTTCTTTGTCGCCCTTAATTCATTCTTCTTTGTCGCCCCTTATTCATTCTTCTTTTTCGCCCTTAATTCATTCTTCTTTGTCGCCCCTTATTCATTCTTCTTTGTCGCCCCTTATTCATTCTTCTTTGTCGCCCTTAATTCATTCTTCTTTGTCGCCCCTTATTCATTCTTCTTTGTCGCCCTTAATTCATTCTTCTTTGTCGCCCCTTATTCATTCTTCTTTTTCGCCCCTTATTCATTCTTCTTTGTCGCCCTTAATTCATTCTTCTTTGTCGCCCCTTATTCATTCTTCTTTGTCGCCCTTAATTCATTCTTCTTTGTCGCCCCTTATTCATTCTTCTTTGTCGCCCCTTATTCATTCTTCTTTGTTGCCCTTAAATCATTCTTCTTTGTCGCCCCTTATTCATTCTTCTTTGTCGCTCCTTATTCATTCTTCTTTGTCGCCCCTTATTCATTCTTCTTTGTCGCCCTTAATTCATTCTTATTTGTCGTCCCTTATTCATTCTTCTTTGTCGCCCTTAATTCATTCCTATTTGTCGCTTCTTATTCATTCTTCTTTGTCGCCTTTTATTCATTCTTCTTTGTCGCCCTTAATTCATTCTTCTTTGTCGCCCCTTATTCATACTTCTTTGTCGCCCCTTATTCATTCTTCTTTGTCGCCCTTAATTCATTCTTCTTTGTCGCCCCTTATTCATTCATTCATTCTCCTTTGTCGTCTTGAGTGTCTCACAGGATGATATGGAGTAGTGGATTATCCGACACCGCCGGTACACACACATAATTTCATATAATAGCTTCTGATGACGGGGCTATAATTTTTCAATAACCTAAATATCTACAAGCACTGACTTTCGAAGCTAGGTGTATGAAAATGATTTCATTTTCTTTACTTCTTTGAAATTGTTTTTTTTATATATGTTCAATTTAAAGTGATAGCAATGCAGGGAAAACACTGTGGATTTTTTGTTCTTACAAAAAACAAATTTTTTTCTCCTCTAATTTTAATTTATTGACGTTTTTTTCCTTTAGGAACAATATCCTATTCACACCAACGCAAGTTGAAGCAATTCGTTCAGGAATGCAACCAGGTCTAACGCTGGTTGTCGGTCCTCCAGGAACAGGTATGTGGACTATAATAATGTTATTACTAAGTTATATGATCCAAATATGGTAATACTTTACTTACGAATTCTTTTTAAGGCGAAATTCATCAAACTTCATGCTTAAGCCATAATTACTCAGCGTGCTTTGTTAAAGCCCTACACTAAGCTAGTTTACTAATAAGAGTTCTCTAAAATTGGAATGCACCTATCAGAACATTAGCTTATTTATTATTAGTGCATATTCATTTCTTTTATTTCATAATCATTAATTTCGATCCAGGTAAAACCGATGTGGCGGTACAGATAATATCCAACCTGTATCACAACTTTCCATGGCAGCGTACATTAGTGGTAACGCATAGTAACCAAGCACTTAACCAGCTGTTCGAGAAAGTCGCCGAACTCGATGTGGACGAAAGACACTTGCTACGTCTCGGACACGGTGAAGAGGCGTTGCAAACTGACAAAGACTTCTCCAGGTACATACGGTTATCTCTTTTAAACTTTTTGTACTTGTTTCTTTATAATAGAATGACAAGGGAGCTAACAATCCACCTTATTATAAAGGCTACCGTAGCTCATGTATATCTGTAATTAATTTCAAAACGAATTAACTCTTATATCCCAATAAAATTCCCATGCAGTCGCATGCGCCTGGCAAATCCCGAGCGATCGCATGCGACCGCACCCACTCACAGCACTTAAAATCATACAACTTATATTTAAAGACTACTTTTCTATAAAAAAAGTTTGGCATTATAAAATCTATACAAAATTCTATATCCTGTGGTCTAAACAAAAGTCAGGTTTTACGTCATTACAAAGAGATTTTATTGTATTTTGATAACAAAAAAACATACCAAGCGGATGTCGGCAGCGTGAAAATCACAATTATTTATATTGTTGCATGAATAAGTCAACTAGCGCCATCTAGTGTCAGGAACGAGAGCGAGGGGGAGCATTGAGAAAATGACATCACAAATCACTCAACTGACAGCGCCTAGTCGAAACTCGAACGCTCGGTACCTTCCGCGTGTTTACTTGAACATTATGGATATTTCTTTGCTAATTTAAATATATAGGCGCTGCAAGATGCGATGGAGGCAGTGTTGATTTGGGCGAAACAAGCGAAGCTTCGGAGTGGAATTAAGTGAATTAGTGTGTTTAAATTATTAGTGTTTTAACTTTAATTGTGTAAAGTAAATTAAAGTGTTAATTTAGGTAATTTTATCGGCAATTTTTATTGTCACGAACCTCAAGCTCGTAACAATTGGTGTCAGAAGTGGGATAAAATAATGCCGATTTTACCTAAGGAGGAAACGGAGGGTGTCCGTACCCGAAGTCAACGCCAACAGGAGACGGACCAGAGGAGATTTGGTGGTGCAACGCCGCAGATGTCTGAGGGCCAGCCGCCGGCCACGGAAGCCGGTCCGTCAGCAGCTTCTACGTCTGTGGCACCTGACTTAGGTGCTCTGATGGTAATGCTGCAGCAGCTGCGGGGCGGACAGGAGGAACAGGCCCGTCAGTTGAAAGAGCAGCAGGAGGAACAGGCCCGCCGACACGAGGAACAGGCCCGCCGACACGAGGAACAGGCCCGCCGACAGGAGGAACAGATGCTCCTCATGAAGGACCTTCACGCTACCTTCGGAAAGGAGATAAAGGAGGTGAAGGATAGGGTTGCTCACCATGACAACCGCCTGTCGGAAGCTGAAAACCGAATCGAGAAAGCTGAAACCCGAATCGACCAAGTAAACAATCGGGTTGAAAACGTAATGGCTGACATGAAGAAATCACTGGACGAACTCAAACTTGGAGATGGAGCTACAGCTCCCGTAGTAGCTACAACACCTTCGCTACGTGGGTTCAAGGTGCCACCGTTCGATGGTACCTCTTCCCGGTCAGCCTACAAAATCCAGTTCGAGGCTGTTATGAAGGCGAACGGCTGGAATAAAAGTCAGGCCATGACTGCTCTCACACTAGGCCTGCGCGACCAGGCCTTAACAGTTCTGGAAGCTCTCGGCGAGGAAGTGACTTATGAGCAACTCCTTGAGGCATTGGAGGCGAGGTATGGCGACGCTCACCTGGAACACGTCTTTCGTGCGCAGCTTAAGGATCGCGTGCAGCGCCGAAATCCTGCAGCAGTGGGCTCTAGAGGTGGAGAAGCTGGTGCGAAAGGCATACCGGTCTGTACCTGCGCTCATTGGAGGGAACCTGGTGCAGACATTCATCGACGGCATCCGTGACCTGGAAGTCAGAGCTGCTGTGAGGCTCGGGCACCATGAGACGCTTAAGGACGCCTTGGCCCATGCACTGGAGGTAGAAGCCGTGCGGCAGGATCATCGTTCCCATCGCGTCAGGGAGGTTGCAGCAGCTACAGTTCGCGACCGCAACAAAGGATACAGCCCTAGGTGCTATGGCTGTGGGGAAAAGGGCCATCTTCGATCCAGCTGCCCTAAGCGAACCCTAGAAAGGGAAGGTGAACGATCCCAGGAGGGTAGTGCGGCCAACAGCACCGCCCAGCAGCAGCAGGGAAACGAGTAAAAGCCAGAACTGCGGGGCGGGTGCTGGCTGATGTTAAAAGAGCCCCAAGGATCTCGATCTCACAAACCCATGATGGGAACAGCCTAATCATAAAGGGCGAGATCAACGGAATGCCGTGTAAGCTGACCATAGACACTGGAGCCTCTCGTACGGTTGTTAGTTCCCAACTTATAAGTCAGTTCCTTGGGGACTCCGCATACAACCGAGAACGCCTTAATTTGGTAACAGCCACCGGTCAGCGTATACCCGTCCGTGGAGAGAAGGAGATGGAGTTGAAGCTAGGCAACGTGATCTACCTGCATAATGTCATCGTGGCTGATATAATGGACGACTGCATCTTAGGCCTAGACTTTATGAGGAATAATTGTTGTGAGATCGACGTTAAGCAAGGTGTTTTGAAATGTGGACAGGAGGAACTTTTTATGGAAGGTGCGTTACCAGGGAACGTGTACAGCATCAAGAAGATTGTTCTTCCGCCGAGATCGGAAACGATTGTTCCGGTTAGTCTACCTCGAAACGCTGGGCAAGCTCACCGTTGTGTACTTGTGGAAAGGGTAAACAATGACCTTCCATGGAAAGTAGCTCGAACCTTGGTCAGGACCACTGACATCTCAGGAGTACGTGTGCTGAACCTTTGCGACCGGGAACAGATTATAGAAAAAGGCACACTGGTTGGTACTTGTGAGGAAGTGGATTGGTTACGTCAGTGCCAATATATATCGAGTGGGACCCCCAGCAAGGATTCAGAAACGAGAGTGACCACACTTTTGGAAGACTGTCGCAGTGTTCTGTCCCCGAACGAATTGGTCAAGGCGAAGAAGTTGTTACTCAAGTACGCCGATGTATTCTCATCAAATGATGCTGACATAGGAAAGACTGGCCTAGTTCAACACAAAATAAACACAGGAGAGGAATTGCCTATCCGTCAGCGGCCAAGAAGATTGCCGGTAGCACGTGAAAAGGAAGTGGAAACCATGATTGAAGGAATGGTGAAGGATGGTGTTATTGAACCTTCCTCTAGTCCATGGTGTTCACCAGTGGTGCTGGTGAAAAAGAAGGATGGCAGCATGCGGTTCTGTGTTGATTACCGCCGTCTGAACGACGTTACAAAGAAGGACAGCTATCCCTTGCCAAGAATTGATGACACGCTGGACATGCTTACAGGAGTAAAATGGTTTAGCACGCTGGATCTAAAAAGTGGCTACTGGCAAGTTGAAATTGACCCTAAGGACAAGGAGAAAACTGCGTTCTCGACGGGAAAGGGTCTGTGGCAATTCAAAGTAATGCCGTTTGGGTTGTGCAATGCTCCAGAAACGTTTGAAAGGCTGATGGAACTTGTACTTACCGGGCTAATTGGCGATGCCTGTCTGGTCTACTTGGATGACATCATCATCGTGGGCCGTACGTTTGAGGAACACCTTCAAAACCTGGAACGCGTGCTCATGAAGATTCAGAGTGCCAACCTCAAGTTGAGCCCGAAGAAATGTTCACTATTTCAACGGCAAGTTAACTTTTTGGGGTTTGTAGTATCGGAAGAAGGTATCCGCACAGATCCAGAGAAAATCGCCGCTGTCAAGGATTGGCCGGTTCCAAAAGACAAGACGCAGGTTAGAGCATTTTTGGGTTTGTGCTCCTATTACCGGCGATTCGTGAAGAACTTTGCAGATATAGACAAACCTCTGCACAAGCTAACCGAGGAGAAGCGACATTTCTGCTGGGATGAAAGTTGCAATATCGCATTCCAGGAGCTCAAGGACCGTCTGTGCAAAACACCTATTTTGGGATACCCTGATGCAAGCAAAGAATTTATAGTTGACACAGACGCAAGTGATATAGGACTCGGCGGTGTGTTGTCTCAACGGAATGGTGACCAAGAGGTCGTAATAGCGTACTTCAGCAAGTCGTTGTCAAAACCGGAAAGGAACTATTGTGTCACAAGACGCGAATTGCTCGCTGTGGTAAAGTCGTTGCAGCATTTTAGCAAATATCTTCTGGGACGAAAGTTTCACTTACGAACTGACCATGCTGCACTAAAATGGCTATTGCAGTTTAAAAATCCAGAAGGACAAGTTGCGAGGTGGATTGAACTACTGCAGGAATACGACTTTGAGATCGAACATCGCAGCGGAAAATCTCACGGCAACGCAGATGCATTGTCAAGAAGACCTTGTCCTGAAGATTGCAACCATTGTACTAGGCAAGAGAGTAAGGAAGAGGTATCCGTGAGGATGCTCAGGACGGACCACCTCAGCAACGAATGGAAGAACAGCTTACAACATGCACAGCAGGAAGATCCGGACATCAAGCCGATTCTGGAATGGATAAGGGCCAGTGCTCCCAAGCCTAAGTGGAGCGACGTCTCAGCAATGAGTTCAACCACTAAAAGCTATTGGGCCCAGTGGGACAGCTTGCTGCTTCAGGATGGAGTTCTGTGCCGTAAATGGGAAAATGTTCGGGGAGACAGCTGTTATTTACAAATGGTTGTCCCTAAAGCTAAAGTACCGGATGTTCTACAGCTGTACCATAATGATTATTCAGGAGGCCATCTGGGAGTTAAACGAACTCTACTGAAGATCCGAGAACGGTTTTACTGGGTCCACTGTCGAAACGATGTCGAGGACTGGTGTCGCAAATGTACAAGTTGTGCGGCTGTAAAGGGACCTCAGACTCGTAGTAGAGGTGCATTGAAGTTGTACAATGTGGGTGCACCATGGGAGAGAATAGCCATTGACGTGGCGGGGCCGTTTCCGGAGAGTGAAAGCGGTAACAAGTATTTCATGGTTGTGATGGATTACTTCACTAAGTGGCCAGAAGTCTTCGCCATTCCAAATCAAGAAGCTTCAACAGTTGCAGATAAACTAGTTCATGAAGTCTTCTGTCGTTTTGGAGTACCTTTAGAGATTCACAGCGATCAAGGAAGGAATTTTGAGTCTCAAATATTCCAGGAAACTTGCCGAGTTATGGGTACTCATAAAACAAGAACGACTTCTTATCACCCGCAATCTGATGGAATGGTGGAACGATTTAATCAGACATTGGAGAGGTACCTAGCAAAAGTTGTAGACAATCGGCAACGAGATTGGGACAAGCACATACAACCGTTTTTGTTGTCATATCGAAGTTCTGTTCACGAAAGTACAGCAGTGACACCAGCTTTCGCAAACTTTGGAAGAGAATTACGGCTGCCTGCGGACCTGATCACCGGGATACCACCTGATGCCCCACGCAGTATAACCGATTATGCAAATGACTTGCGGAACAAAATGAATGACATTTATGAGCACGTCAGACAATCGGGCCAGCAAATGTCTGAGAAAATGAAAACCCGGTACGACCGCAAAATGAACAACAAAGGGTTCGACGAAGGTTCACTTGTGTGGTTGCACAATCCAGTCCGCAGCAAAGGGAAATCTCCTAAGCTTCAAGCTAAATGGGACGGCCCGTACCGGATTGTAACCAGGATCAACGATGTGACCTACCGGATACAGAAAGGCGCAAGAGGGACTCCTAAGATCGTCCATGTGGATCGCTTGGCGCGTTATTATGGGACCGATAATGCTCGGGACGAGCATGTCTTAGGAGGGGGCAGTGTTGCATGAATAAGTCAACTAGCGCCATCTAGTGTCAGGAACGAGGGCGAGGGGAGCATTGAGAAAATGACATCACAAATCACTCAACTGACAGCGCCTAGTCGAAACTCGAACGCTCGGTACCTTCCGCGTGTTTACTTGAACATTCTGGATATTTCTTTGCTAATTTAAATATATAGGCGCTGCAAGATGCGATGGAGGCAGTGTTGATTTGGGCGAAACAAGCGAAGCTTCGGAGTGGAATTAAGTGAATTAGTGTGTTTAAATTATTAGTGTTTTAACTTTAATTGTGTAAAGTAAATTAAAGTGTTAATTTAGGTAATTTTATCGGCAATTTTTATTGTCACGAACCTCAAGCTCGTAACAATATATATTACTGGAAACTATTTACGTAAAAAGATAAATTATATTCACACAAAAACTTTTATAACAATTTACTAATAAAACACTATAGTAGAATAAAGTAAAAAAACTAATAAAACACTAGAAAAATACAAAAATCAACACCAACATCCAAATGAAAATGGCGTACGTAATGAACGTAGAATATAAATTAATATCCATAGACTAACTGTTTTTTTATTCCACTAGAGGATAGTAAATTTCATATTGATTCTATAATGCCAAACTTCTTCCCAGAAAAGTAGTCTCTAAACTTAAGTATTTATGGGTTAAAGTGCTGTGGGTGGGTACGGTCAAATTTAACCTTTTGAATTTTGACGGAATATCTAAGCGGTCAAATTTGGACGCTTTGCATTTGAGAGGTTAATACAACAATTAAAAATTTATAACAATAATTTTAACGTGTTAGAGCCATGCTGCTGCTACGTTAAGCCGGTAATTCATGTTGGCCAAGCCTCAACTAACGCCGTAGGCAAATTGATACAAGGTGAGTGCTACAGTCAACATGTTGGCCAAGTTTGAATGAGTGAACATACTGACATGGCCGATTATCATGTGGACATGACTTCCCTGAGCAAAAACCAATACTGTTCCGAAGTGAGACGAGTCGTGGCGAGCGATCCTGAGTGGTGGCAAGGTACGCCAAACGAACCATATAAACGTTGGCGCTCGCCTGCACTCAGCCAACTTAGGCGGGCGACGACGAGCAATGACGTAGCCTCTACAAATGCGGTGTCCATACGTTGTTACTCGCCTTCGCTCGACCAACATGTTTAGCCGGCTTTATGGATCGTTCATCGATATTGACTAAGAGAGAATCACAATCTCACAGAATACCGAAAAAATCAACATACTCCGTAGGTTGGTGACGACTTTTTTTAGATAACGAAGTATTTCGTCTGAGTTTCTATTGGTGACACTCATCTACGAGTACATATTGGCTCCAAATCGGGGACATTGGTTGAACTAACGTATCCACCATCGACTTACATTTAGGTCTCGAGTATTATTTGTATTTGTTCCATCTTTCATTGCAACTCAAAAAAAAATCAACTGCTGAACATAGACCAGCTCCATAGATTGTATCATAGTATTCAAATATGCAGTTGAAAATCGCAGTTTTTCATTATTTTAAATTGTTATCAGAAAGATGTTTTTTTTAAGAGCCGTGGTAGCTCAGTGGTTAACGCTCGCTGTAAATATAACAGAACGCGAGTAACCCGGGTTCGATCCCCGCCGGCACCAATGAAATTGTTAATTGCAATTTTAAGTGCTGATTTACCACGTGCTCGGCGGTGAAGGAAAACATCGTGAGGAAACCTGCATGTCTGAGGAATAAGAAAAAAAAATATTTCGAAGACATGTGAAGTTCGTCAACACGCATTTGGGCAGCGCGGCGGACACTTCCTTGCCCTAAACCCTCTCAGAAATGAGGGGAGGCCTGAGCCCAGCAGTGGGACGTATATAGGCTGTAACTTTTACTTTAAGATGTTTTTGCCTATTTTATCCTCCGGTTTTAGCCTCCCCTTTTTATTTTTTCTGCCGCCTCTTTAGAATAGTAGATTTTACTTCTACTACGCAGCAATTATTGTATGCAACACAAAAGTCATAATTCCATGCTTCGTTTAGATACGGACGCGTGAACTACGTGCTGGCGAAGCGTTTGGAGCTCCTGGAGCTGGCGGCGAAGTTGCAGCGGTCGCTGCGCGCGGGCGGCGAGGCGGGCGCCACGTGCGAGCTCGCGCACCACTTCTACGTGTACCACGTGCGGCCGCGCTGCGACGAGTTCCTGCGCCTCTGCGCGCAGGACAAGGTGTGTTCATACATCCGCTGCAAAAGTAGATGGCGGCGTGGCGAGAGAATCTTTCAAGATCGCGTATATCTATGTTTATAACAAGCAACCACGCTGCGATAAGTCCCTGCACTTTTGCGTGAAAACAAGGTGTGTGCACACAGCTACTATTTTTATACAGGGCAGCGAGGCAGAAGAAACGTGTGAGCTCGGACACCACTTTTACGTATACAAAGGGCGCCCGTACGTTATGGAGTCCTTGCGTCTCTTCGCACAGGATGAGGTGTGTTCACACAGCCACTACTTTCATAAATAACGGCGAAGCGAGAGAAACGCACGTTGCTCTTGGCAATCGCACTAAGCAATCTAATTTAATATGTATTACTTGTGAGATACATTGTGTTTTCATGCGCTGGCCAAGTCAATCTATTTATTTGAAACATAAAAGATTTTTAAAATTGATATGGTTACAGCAAGATGTTGTTATGTTAGCTAATTACGTAATAACTTAAGACAGAAGGACCCTTAAGTAGGAACTGAATAAATTAACCGACTTGGTATTACAAGAACTGAGTTGCGAGACTTGGTTTTTTTTACAAGTTATGTTTTTGATGGCATATGTTTTACGCATACGTTTAAAACATTTATGGTCAAAACTACTGAAATTAACTCTTCGTTATTATTTCATTAAATATTGTATAATAAGAAATTAAAGTAAAAAAAGTAACAACTTATAAACTGCGCCAATGTGTGCGTAATATTTTTATTGCTCAAATATGTAGTTTTCTTCGAGCACGAAATAAATCTACACTTACAATTGCAACTAACAATATCATTGGTTCCGATTGGTTTAGAGCCGTGGTAGGTCAGTGGTTAACGCTCGCTGTAAATATAACAGAACGCGAGTAACCCGGGTTCGATCCCCGCCGGCACCAATGAAATTGTTAATTGCAATTTTAAGTGCTGATTTACCACGTGCTCGGCGGTGAAGGAAAACATCGTGAGGAAACCTGCATGTCTGAGGAATAAGAAAAAAATTATTTTCGAAGACATGTGAAGTTCGTCAACACGCATTGGGGCAGCGCGGCGGACACTACCTTGCCCTAAACCCTCTGAGAAATGAGGGGAGGCCTGTGCCCAGCAGTGGGACGTATATAGGCTGTAACTTTACTTTTATATCATTGGTTCCGGCGGGAACGAACCGGGGTTACTCGCGTAGTGTGGATGATGGGTTACAGGTACGGCTACAGTCGATGAGCGTGCGCTCTAAATATAAAATAAAGAAATTGTATGATGTAATATAAAAAAATAGTGAAAAATGTATTCACATACAAACACACACATACACACACACGCACGCACGCACGCACGCACGCACGCACGCACACACGCACACACGCACGCACGCACGCACGCACGCACGCACGCAAGCGCGCACGCGCGCACGCGTGCACGCGTGCACGCGCACGCACACGCACACACACACACACACACACACACACACACACACACACACACACACACACACACATACATTAAATTGGTCAAATGCGAATAAAAGAAAATTTTTCTACGCTTGTTAAAAACCTAATGAATTTTTTCTATTTTAATTTGTTCTAGACTAAATCGGTTGAAACAATCAGCAAAGAGTTTCCATTCCACGAGTTTTTTGAAGACGCTCCCAAGCCTCTGTTTCCCGGAAAGTCTTACGATGAAGACATGGAAATTGCACGAAGTTGTTTCAGGTATGTTTGCTTATAAGTTTTCTTTTTCCTTTGAATTGCTAGTGTAAACAAATTTTTTATCGTTGCTTATCTTCAGGTACATAGATCACATATTCGAAGAGCTGGAGGAATTCCGCGCGTTCGAATTACTTCGGTCTGGTTTAGATCGGTCCAAGTACTTATTGGTAAAGGAGGCTAAAATTATCGCGATGACCTGTACTCACGCGGCTCTAAAACGCTCGGAATTGGTCCAGATGGGTGAGTATAATCGTTACTCGTAAATGTTAACTAATAAACTAACTGTATCAACGAATACCATAGCAACGTACACAAGAGTTCGTATTTGTCAGTAACGGTTATAATGACCACATAGTCCAATCTAACGATTTCATTATTAAATGTGGAGAAGTGAAAAAAGTTGAGGATAAAATCCGTAAAAAAATCCGATACATTTACGATTTACAACAAATACTTTTTATAGAAGAGGGGGCAAACGAGCATGCGGCTCACCTGATGTTAAGTGACTACCGCCGCCCATGATCAACCGCAACACCAGGGGAATTGCAGGTGCGTTGCCGGCCTTTAAGAAAGGAGTAAGCTCTTTTCTTGAAGGTCCCCAGGTCGTATCGGTCCGGAAAAATGGCCGGTGGTAAACTATTCCACAGAGAGGTCGTACAAAGAAAACTCCTTGTAAAACGTACAGTGGTGGACCGCCAAGCATCCAGATGGTGTGGATGGTATCGGGATGTTTGCCGCGTAGTGCGTTCATGAAATTTGGCGGCTGGGATTAATCCGAACAATTCCTCAGACCACTCCCCATGGTATATGTGAAAGAAAATGCAAAGAGATGCAAGATCTCTTCGCAGCGCCGGTGAAGCGAGCCGATCAGAAAGTACTCGGTCGTCAATTCGAGCCGCTCTGCGCTGGATGCGGTCAAGTGGAAGGAGCTGGTACTGGGGAGCTCCAGCCCAGAAACGGGAACAGTATTCCATGTGCGGCCGAACCTGCGCCTTATAAGGTTGCAGGCGGTGTGCCGGCAGGCATGAAATACTCTCCCGCTCTGCTGAGCACGTCAAGCTTTTTAGAGGCCAATTTGGCCTTCTCTTCCAAGTGACCACGAAACTGCACGTCACTCGATATTTCAATGCCGAGGATACCGATACTGGCTGAGGCAACAAGGGGAGTGCCTTGAAACTGGGGAGATACGACAAAGGGCTTTCTTTTTAGCGGTTAACGCGCAAACTTGTGTCTTCTGGGGATTGAACTGGACTAGATTTAGTCGCCCCCAATCCGAGACTCTGTTCAGCAAAGACTCGACTTCAGACACAAGTTTGTCCCGGTACTCGGAGACGCTTAATTTTCGTATTTGACATGACAAAAGCATATGAAAAAATTAAATATGACATTCTCTTAAATAAACTTTATGACATTAGTATCCGTGGTGTAGCTCATAAGTGGTTTGCTTCCTTTCTCAGCAATCGTTCACAGCACGTCGAAATAGAAAATGTAGATCAAGATTCAAAAACCATAACATGTGTCAGGTCGAGGGCCCAGCCGGTGCGGGACTCTATCCCTCAGGGGTCCGTACTCGGATGTGTCCTCTTCCTTATTTACATCAATGACCTCCCGAAGATTATTGATGAGTTTTGTGTGATGTTTGCCGACGATTTTTCCGTTGTGTTCCCTTATATCCATGGTACCAGACTTAATGAAAGAATCGACATAATTATAAATAAAGTAAAACAATGGCTAAGCGATCATAATTTAGAAGTCAATTTAAAAAAAAACTAAACTAATACAATTCAGACCACGACAAAAACATGAACAAGAGATAAATTATACATATAATCAAACAAAATTAGAATGTGTTCAAAATTTTTCTTTGCTGGGTATAAATATAGATCCGAATGTTAATTTTAAATCACATATTCAAAATAATAAGTTAAAATTATCACAATTTATATATGCTTTAAGAGAATTAAAAAAAAATCTACAAATTTAAAAACGGCAGTGACGGCCTATCACGCCTACGCTCAAGCGTGGCTAAACTACGGCGTCATACTATGGGGCAGCAGTGTAGACTCACACGAACATTTTATTTTACAAAAAAAAATGTATACGCGTACTTGCAAATATCAAACAAAGAGAAAGCTGCAAACCTCACTTTCAAAGTCTTAAAATTCTAACATTACCGTGCCTATATATATATTAGAAATATGTAAATTTGTAAAAAGACACCCAAGTTTTTACACCAAAATCATAGACGCGCCCCGACACAACGTACCTCGCTATAACCTTTTGCAACCAAAATCTAAATTAAAATTACACAGTACAGGTCCTTACTCGATGTCAATAAAAATTTATAATAAATTGCCGGAATACATAAAAGCCGAAACAAATATTAATAAATTCATAAGATCTTTAAAAGAGATACTTATTAAAAAAAAGTTATTATTCAATGAATGAATACATTGAGGAAAAGAATTTTTAAGTGTCTACCCCTCTCCTGTTCATTGCTATGCCTTTCGAGGTGCACGTGATTGTTAGAACTTGCATGTTTTGTTTAGTCTCTAAGTCACATGTAACGCAATTTGTGAATAAATAAATAAATAATACTTATTTAGTTGCAGAAATTCTAGAGGTCATAACGACTATTATTTTACGCCGACCATAAAAAAAGAGAAAAGTTATCAATTCTTCAGTATTTTTTTATTTAAAGTATATAACGCGGTAATTCAGAGATTATGAAACTGGAAATACACTTTTACAGTTAAAGTTACAGCCTACTCGTATATACGTCGCACTGCTGGGCACAGGCCTTTTCTAACTGCCGAGAGGGTTTTAGGACAAGGAAATATCCGCCGTTGGCGAATTTCACATTACTTGGAAAAAAAAATTTTTAATTATTTCTCAGACATGCAGATTTCATCACGATGTTTTCATTCACCGCCGAGCACTTGGTAAATCAGTAGCCAGCCCCTTATAAATTTCAACAAAATTCGATGATCTCCTTGTAAATTTCAACAAAATTCGATGATAATTAAACACAATAATTATTTTTATTTACTTGCAATTATTCGCATTGTTTTATTTTTCGTTAAACATTGCTTCTATCTTAGAATTTGCGGATTTATCGTCATTTGCGGAAAGAATATATAATTGTGCTTTAAGTATGAATTTCGTCTCATCCCTTGCCTTCCTCGATAAGTATTTTTTTTAATATAATGAAAAGATTCTGAGGACAATAATATCAAGTTTTTCAGAGATTATGGCACATGATTTTGTTTGTGTTTGAATTTAAACCTTTTATTCAGATAACATGTCTACTCTGTGTCTGTACGTATAGTAGGCGCCACGTATTAACGTGACTTGGTTACGGTTGTTTGTCTATGCCACTTTGCATGTATAAATGAAGTCATTAATATTTATTACTTCGCCTAACGTATACATAATGACAATATTGCAAAGCATTACGAATACATGCGTTTCCAAATCGATCGCTCTCTTTTAACTTAATATCTATTTTAATATGTTATGATTCTCTTCAAAACCATCAACATTAACTTCAAAAACATTAACATACATCATCATATTATGAAAGTTTTCTTTCCTATGGGTATTTTGTCATGTTTCAGTTAACATTTTGTTTGAATCGAAGCCAGGTATTTTTTTATGAAACAGATGATGCTAAGCTACGGGTACGAATGAATAGCTTTTGTCAGATTATATCAATTGAATAAGTGATTTGTAATGTAACCGTAATCTAATGGCTAGAATCCCCGTACTCATGTACTTACCAGTTTTTTTACACTGTGAAATGTAAGAGAGATAAAATATATAATAAGCACTTAATAAGTTAATGTATGTATAAATCTCTCGGCGGTGGTTGAATATTAACTACTGTTTAATTAAATAAAAAATAGAAAATGCAAGGATTATACAGGCTGTTAGTGTAAACACCGTTATCCTTGAAAACAGTGGTTTGGTTTCACTTATAGAACGTAAATTCAATGAATTTTAAAAAAAGACGCTATTTTCTTCCATAAAATTTAAAAAGTTTCTGTCCGTCACCGTCCGTAAATTCATGAATACCCTATGCGCCCGAATGACGCAATCACTGTAAAGATCACCGCCCGCGCTAGCTACCTACACAAAATTCCAATAAAAACACAATAGGTACACATAACCTGTGATTTTACTTTTCCTTCATACTTTCACCCTGGCTTAGGACAGGCAAAAATTGAGGAATTAAGGAAAAATTGAGATTTTACTAAAAAAAAATGTTGTTATTTTTCATTGAATTTACGTTCTATAAGTAAAAACCACTGGTTTCAAGCAGCAACAACGGTGTTTACACTAACAACCTGTATACGAGTTGAACTAAACGGTTACCGATTTTATATCACTGGTTTTTTTTCACGATCAGGTTTCAAATACGACAACATCCTAATGGAGGAATCAGCTCAGATTCTCGAAATTGAAACTTTCATCCCACTGTTGCTGCAAAATCCACAAGACGGTCGTTCCCGGCTCAAACGCTGGATAATGATCGGCGACCATCATCAGCTCCCGCCTGTCGTCAAGAACATGGCCTTTCAGAAGTACTGCAACATGGAGCAGAGCCTCTTCACTCGGATGGTTAGACTCGGGGTCCCTTACGTCGAACTGGACGCACAGGGTCGAGCTAGACCAAGGTGAGAACTTACCATATTATGTATTTAAAGAATAAACAGATTAAAAAATTGCGTGAATAAAAAATTTTGTTCATAGATCTTTTGCGTAGTTATTGGATTGATTATTACAGCTCACACTAAGTAGTCCACGCATTTTTTTAATTTCGTATTTTTTTATTCTAGTTTTTTATCTTTTTTCATTGTTTTTTCTCTTGTTACTTTTGTGTTTGTATTTTTATTGTATCTTTTAAGATCACAGATTAATGTTTTTCTTTTTATCTTCCGTTGTTTATTTATATTATGTTATTGAAATTTTTAAAATAGTTCAAAGCTAACAAGCTTGGTTTAGACATGTACTCGAGAAATTTGTACACTAACGGGTCAATTAGACCGGGGTAGGACCACGCTCTCACAGAATACCAGCGTAAAATAGCAACTTAATGCTGCTAAATGTGTTTCGTGTGATGAGTGTAAAAAACCGGAGAGGACTTGTTTGTCACCCTTATTGAAAATAATAATGGCGGTATACTAACTTGCATACTTAGATTATTTGGGAGTGAATAATCTAAGCTTACATAATATGGCAGATCTAAAATTCCCTTGCCAGAGACGTCAGAGGTGCGGGATATCTGGTGCTGCTATTACCAGTCCGTCAGCCAAGCGCGACGTTTGTGACTTATTCTTACAGTATTAGATGAACATATTCAGCAGTTGCCTTTCCCAGGCTGCTAAAAAGTGGAAAAACTACCAATTAGTTATACGAAAACGCAATGTCGCTCAGCGAGCTATAGAGAGGGCTATGCTCGGGGTTTCTCTTTGTGATAAATTTAGTAATTAGGATGTCCGCAGTAGTACCAGAGTAACTGACACTAATCCGTTGTGATAAGCTGATGTGGCAATGAGCTGACCATATAACTCGAAGAACCGACAACTGATGAGAAAGATAGGTTCTCGAGTGGCAGTCTCGTACCCGAACGTGAAGTGTGGGACGGCCTACCTCTAGTTGGAGTGACGACCTGGTAAGACATGCTGGAATTTGATGGATGCAGGTGGCCCAGGACCGTGATTTATGGCATTCCTTGGGAGAGGCCTATTTCAGCAATGGACTTGTGAAGTCCGTAATGATGAAACGCACTAATTCCCAATCTGCACTGGATGTGGCTATGTATTCAGTACATCACACATGCTGTTCCTTATGTACATCGAACAATAATATAAAAGCATTTCCAGTCTTCCTGTACCTACTTAATGTTGTACTTAAACAGTCTCACGGTCTCAACACATGTTTATTTATACAAGCAACGTGAAACTCAACGTTGTTTGATGTGGTTCGGCGAGCGGCACGTAAGAATTCGTTTTCTGGAAAATAGCTTTCGTCGAGTACCGAAATAAATCACGTTTTGTATGATTTTGTTTACAGTTCAATCATCAGTAAAACATTTTCTAATTTAACCTACCTGTAGCCAACCTGATGTTAAGCTATTTACCACCAGGTGGGCTTTACGTTCGTTCGTCAATTAATTTTTTTATGGAATCTGAGTCAGCAAATAGTCCATGTGATGGTAAATGGTGGCTGTGGCCGATAACATCTACATCTATCCTCGATTAAGAATCAAAATGCAGATGATTAGTTGCCACTTCTGAGGACTAAGATGGAATGCCTCGTTTCCAGTAAAAAGGGTCTCCGGTTCTCTACACTCACCATACAAAACACAGCAGCATTTAACTGCTATTTACGCTAGTATTCTGTGAGAGCGTAGTCCTACCCCGGTCGAGACGACCCATTCGTGCTACAACCATACAAATATAGCTGCAGCATGTGTCTACCATTATATATGTATATTCATAAAAACCAAGTTCTAACAAAAAAGTGACACATGCGTTGTCACCTCTGAGGACTAAGCCATCTTAGTTTGTTAGAACTAACTGTAGCATGTGAGGTATTCTATATATCTAACACCCTGTGATTAAATTAACTCTCTGTACCCCTCCAAATCAAAATAACCAATCCTGAATTAAAACGAATGGGAGATTCTTCCAAATTATAGAATGGCTAAACTTACTCGACGTGTCCGCGGAACACCCTTAACATTTTTCATTATTTCCTAAGTATTTTAAACCAAAAGATTGAAGTTATGCATGAATATAGTATACCAATTATTATTTTTGTGACAACGCAATTCAGAATCGTACGTAGACTGCGTCATCATCAAAACGATTATGTCTCCCATACACGTGCCTTACAATGTCAATACCGTACTTAGGAAACATACGTTTTCTTTAATTACCTGCATAACCTTTTAGTTTTGAACCGTTCAAGAAGAATATTAGTATTGGATAAGGTAAGGTTGGTAAGAATTATATTAGTATTGGATTGGGACCACCGACTAAGTTTCATAAACCAATGTGTTTTCTTTCTTTTTATTTTAAACATGTTTCTTTTACATATAAAATGTATAATTTAATGATGATGGTCAATGGATGGATGGATGAATACATAATGTATCATCCTATGAGTTTTTATCTTCTTTTTATTCTTCTTCTTTATTCCTCTTCTTTATTCTTATATATAAAAATAAATTGCTGTCCGCTAAAACTCGGCTAAAACGGCTCAAACGGTTTTAAGAGATTTGTTTGTATTTGAGTGGGTCCCTATATGTTTTAAAAACTCAACTGGACCCGGTAGGTGGCGCTGTTGTTGAGATCCAGAAATTGCCCGTGCGAAGACGGGGCAAATCGCTAGTATAAAATAAGGGTGATGATGTTGTGACTCATTGACACCTTCATCTATTCTTGATTGATAATCAAAATGTCGATGCTTTGTCACTTATGAGGACTAAGCATTTAGATTAAAGAATAGGAGAACGATCGCTACGTACTAAAGCATAGCCCGCCTGTCCTTGAAAATTGTAGAAATTATAGCGGCGCTGACGTTGGTGAGTAGTGACTGCGAAGTTAGCTGTTTATGAGTACAAGTAGATGAAGTTAGTTGAATAAGGTACAAATTTTCCTCGTGGCATTGGTGAGAAAATTTTCATGTTCCGTAATTTTGTAATTTTTGACAAAAAGAAACATTAAAAAGTGGAGAAATATTTTATTGTGCGTGGATGTGCAAGTGGTTTAGCATCTGATCGGAAAATAGTTTCAAAATGACTTTTATTGAGCGAACTTAGCGATCGTAGCACCTCACTAATGGTGTCCATATTTCTGGGACACTATTTTCTACGGCGATCGTTTTCCTGTTCTCTAACGTCCATGGAACTAAGATAGAATGATACCTCGTTACGAATAAAAGGATCTCCGGTTCATACGATACACTCACGCACAAACTTGAAACACATCATCATTTTACGTTTGTATTCTGTGAGAGCGTGGTCCTTCCCTGGGCAAACCGAACCATTCGTTCCTAAAACATAATATAACTATAACGCAGTTAACTACCACGTTAAAAATACACCGCTGAATGTTTAGTATTTTAGTGATTGGGATTTGTCCGAATCGACACGCCTGTTTGAAATGAAATGAAATATAATTTATTTCTTTGACGTAAGAAAATAAATTTCGTTTGCCAAATGTAATTTTTTGTAACCTACTAAATCTACTACTGTTTCGAAATATATCTCCTGTAACTGGATAAAAATGACTTTTTTCATTTTTAAAGTTAATATTACATAGTACAGTTTCTAGGCTAGTGCCTAGTAGAAGAAATCTTTTTGTTATCTGAAAGCTTAGTAGCTTACAATATTCTATACCAGACACTGCAGCACAAACCTTGGTCACACTACTCAATATTTCTTACAATACCTTCAATATCTTTTACATCAGTTGATGTCATCGGTAACATCCAACACTTTATGGAAACTGATGTGCATGATCTTTTTTTGTACATTTATGATTGATCGCACCACCAGACATCTCACAACCTTGATGTTGGTTTTCGTCGCCGGACTGAATAGTGTACGTCTGGAGAAAACCAAATGATTATACCGCCTTTTATCTGGCATTGTCTATAGTTTTACGACATCCACGAAACCGAATTGATAGACGTGTTATCCCGTGACGCCTATACACGCTGTCAGCTACTCGAAAAATATTTACGGAGCACAAGTGTATGCGAAAATACAAAGTACCTTATGGTCGCCACACACGGTCAGTTCAGCTAATCATTCCAACTGATCAGTTCAAACTAGGACTGTTGATATTTTTTATAATATTGGATTTTCGATATTCAGCTTTGATATTCGATAGATGGCTCCTGCAACAAATGGATTCACATGCAACCATCTTTAAAGAGCGCCGCAGATGCGTTTTAATCCTTGAGTACTAAACTGAATTGCCTCAACTCTCTTATATTTCAAATCGAAACAAAAAATTTCTTCTTCATCGACCCATAAAAGCTCACTGCTAGGCGTGATTCTCCCCTACTGTAGGTAGGCGGTAATAATGACAGAAAGATGTGTATTTTTTAAGAATTTTCTATAGCCGCCTCTTACGGCACTATGCAATAAAACAAGGTGATGGATTGCATATTTTCTCTTATGTCACCACCACGAAAAATCTAATAAATAACACGCTAATGTTTTATTGTAAAATATATTTACTATTGGAATATCATATTTTTAAAGCCAACTATGTCTGGCCTAACAGGCGCTGATAACTGTGTTGCCAAATGATCATGTCACGGGTGAAGAAACTTAATGATCATATTTTTTTTATAAAACTGAAGAGAAAAATGAACTTACCTGATGGTAAGTTACTGCATTCCATGGACACCTGGAGCCAATTTCCAACAAATAAGGCTGCAGATGCGTTGTCACCCTTGAGGGCTAAGATGGAATCCCTCACAATCCGTAATAATACTGGTCCTCTATGCTTTTTGGGCCAGAAAGCAGCAGCGCAGGCACTGCTATTTGGCGGCAGGCCCCTCCTGCCATACCTATACCTATACCTTCTGCCCCAGAATGACCCCAAGTCAGAAAAAGAATCCCCCTATCTCGTAAAGTAGTAAAATTATAATACGAAAAGACGTACATTAAATCTCATACATCCTTAGATATTGATGTTTAGAAAGGTTTTGATGGGTTATTATTATTTCCAGCATTTGCAACCTTTACCGATGGCGGTATCGCGCGCTCGGTGACCTCGGCCACGTGCTACGGCTTCCGGAGTACCGTGCGGCCAACGCGGGCCTGCTGTACGACTTCCAGCTAATCGATGTGGGTGACTTTAACGGCGCCGGCGAAACTGAACCCAGCCCATACTTCTACCAGGTATTATTACAAAGGCTTCGCGCCGGTTTTGATTGTGCTAGCATTTTTTTATTAAACGAAGGGCAAAGATTTATTTTGTTAGACAATTATTTTGTACATAAATTTATATAAGTTGATATAAACGTCTCCGCAAGTGTATCTGCAAATCGTAAATTCTCGTCCCTCATTTATATTCGATGTAAAGAAAGAAAAAACAAAAAATACGTGTGGCACTCGGTGACTGCCGCGGTAAAGCTATTGCATAGCATTTTTTATCAACTTATGCAATTATAATTATTTATTTATTTTATTTATGCAGTTAAGTCTTTGATATTAAATCAAGTTACACTTTTTGAGCATGGTGACCAATAAGAAAACAATTTTTATCTCTTATTGAATAAATGAGAAGTTAATATTGTTTAAAATATTTTTAATATCTTACAATACATGTAGGTTATTCAGGAATTTTTATCATTGAGTTAGCAGCTAGTGTACACGCACACAAACACCCCAGTGCCGAAGTCTGCCGAACTAAAACGACGTTAGACGATGCACGGCTTTCAACGCCACACCTCCGTGCCCGTCGGAGTGGGGAGCGTGAGGTTTTTTCGTTACGGAATTTCTGGATTCGGTCGCCGCGCTCAAGGCCCGCGATAGAAGCTATGCAATAGCTTAATAATAACGTTTCATTTACAATAAAAAATGACAACCCTTGAATATTGTAATAATTAACTTTGCAGAATAAGCCGAAAAGACTCAGCGTTTGGCGTGGCGAACCACAGCCGCAAGCTTTCAGTGTATCCCGTTCGTGTGCTTTGTAAAAAAGTAAATATCAAAGGTCTGATAGACCAGGCCTAAAATATTCTAAAACATTAAACTGGGCTTTTGATCGTAAATTCCCTTCAGAAGCCCTGGGATTAGATAAAAATCAATCGCGCATTCTGGCCAGAGCCCTGACTGGAAACTGTTGTCTTACAAAGCACATGTCCATTGTGATCTTGCTCTCAGTCTCGGCTTAATTTTCGAAAGTCTCGTCTTACAGTTGTACGATAAAAGGCAAGACAATCTTAAAGGTAAATGCGGAGAAATTGCATTCCTAAATTACAACATACAGCTTTTTAACTTTGATTAGGTATTGGTTTAAGTAGGTACCTATAGAATAGCGAATTTTTCAATTACATATTATTATATTTTTGTTGGTCTGAATCTTCGAATAAAATCGGTCAAGTGCAAACAATATTTGTTGTATTGTACGATTACTGTTCCATGATATCAGCCAGACCTCTACCAAAATTATTATCCTTGTTATAAGAATTTGCCGCTTTTGTAAAATGTTTCAAGCCTAATAGTTTTCTTCATAATAAACCGACTTTTTAAGGTTATCAATGGCTGAGAGGTGGCAAGATTTAGTTTTTTTTCCAAAATTTATTAAAAAGAATGTTATAAAAAGTTAGAAATCACGATTTAATTAAATTAAAAGTAAAATCATTTGTTACTTCTTTCTTCATTCATCATTAATAATATATGTAGAAACTAGAAATAGTGTGTGAATAAGTCTTGATGGTTGATGTTATTGACAATACTTTTTCACCAGAATCTAGCGGAAGCAGAGTACGTGGTAGCGGTGTTTATGTATATGCGCTTGGTGGGATGGCCGGCGGAGCGCATCTCAATACTTACCACCTATAATGGCCAGAAGCATCTCATCCGCGATGTCGTCGACAAACGATGTGCGGGAAACCCGCTCATAGGTAGACCGCATAAGGTTTGTTTTTTATTCATCTAATGGTTGGTTATTTTATTTTAAGTATTTGTTATTTTTTATTTGGTCGTTTTAATACAATATTTAGATGCATCAGCATTCATGACCATCATTAACAGTTTTTAAACTTTTTAAAGCCTTTTTAAACTCTTCTCATGGTCTTTCCAAGAATGTTTTATTCGTGATAAAGCCATGCTGCAGTTATATTAGTAGTGTAGTTGTAGCACGAATGGGTCGGCTCGACCGGGGAAGTACCACGCTCTCACACAATACCAGAGTAAAATAGTAGCTTAATGCTGCTGTGTTTCGTATGGTGAGTGTAGGGAATCGGCGATCCTTATTACTGGAATCGAGGCATTTCATCTTAGTACTCATGGGTGACAACGCATCTGCATTTTTATTTGTAATCGAGGAATTACTAAAATTAACACTTTAATTACAGAACAATAATTACAACTTAAAACCACAATAATAACAAAACACAATTGTACTACTGATCACTTTAGTTCGCAGTTGTATCCCTTCGAAGTATTCGCTTGTATTGCCACTTCAATACTGACCCAGGTCGGCGTCTATACCGGCCTTATATAGCGCCTCAGATAGTTCCAGAACTTTCTACTGTTGAAACATCTAGAATCTTCAAATACCGTCCCGACTGACTAGGTGTCGATAGTTCTAGAAAGTTCTTCAATGGAAATTTCTAGAAGCATCTTGACGCTTCTAGTTCTGCTACTCGATACTAGTAGGCGCTAGTGGTACCTAGTGTCGCCATGTACCAGGAATTAATTGCGGCGCGCAAATACCAATATAATATTTTCTAGTGTACGAATGCTATTGTTGCGCGCCTAAGTTGACGTCAGGTACCTGGTACTAGCGCCATCTAGTGTCGGGGATCAGAGCGGGGAGGGCTTCCTAGAAAATGTCAATCTTGAACTTTCGACCAACAGCGCCATCTATCGAACAGAAGAATTAAGCTTTTTAGAAGCCCCACTCTCGAACTTTCTAAACTTAGTCAGTCGGGCGCTCGTATTAGCTGGAATATTCTGGATGTAAAAAATCTGGGAAATAAAGAGTCAGTTTTGGTAATTCGATCGGCAGTTTTTATTGTCACGAACCTCAAGCTCGTAACACTTTTTTTACGGAGTTACATTTTAATTTACATGTTAAAAACAGAAAATTAAAATGTAACTCCTACTTATTTATTTAACATCGAATATTTTTTGTTTTTTCGTGTCACCTGTTTTCTTTTTGAATGTAACCTATGATTTCATCATAGGTGACGACCGTGGACAAGTACCAGGGGCAGCAGAACGACGTGGCGCTGGTGTCGCTGGTGCGCACGCGCGCCGTGGGCCACGTGCGCGACCTGCGGCGCCTCGTGGTGGCCGCGTCACGAGCTCGCCTCGGTCTCTACATATTCGCACGCGCAGATCTCTTCCGCAACTGCTTCGAACTGCAGCCTACTTTCAACCAGGTCGGTATAACTTCCTTTCGACAATTATATAATAAAAGTTACTTTCCAGAAGTGGGCTTTGAAGGTGATAATTTATTCCTCAGACATGCCGGTTTCTTCTCGATGTTTTCCTTCATCGTCAGGTACACATAAATCAGCACTTAAAATTGCAATTAACAATTTCCTTGGTGTTTATTTATTTAGTTATTTTTACTATTTTTACACCTTGAAAAAACTAAGGCAACATGGGCGGACGCTATAACGTTAATGGGCGGGCGTAATGACTTTCGGCATTTTCTGCCAATCAACTTTCATTACATCGTCAAACCATCACCATTTTACTTTTTAGAGGTATCTTGCGTAACATGCGTGTTTTTTACAGTTAGTGGAGCGTCCGCTGCAACTACAACTGGTGGTGGGCGAGCGGTTCCCGGCACAGAGAGCTTGCGGCGCGCAAGTGCCGGCGGCGCGCGTGCTGCACGTGCGCGACATGCCGCACATGGCGCGCTACGTGTATGACCTGTACCTCGACATCGTGCGCTCCGGACAACACGCACACGCACGCACGGTGAGCATGCACACATACACACATACATATCTACTGTACGCTATGTGCGGTGCGCGTGCTGCACGTGCGCGACATGCCGCACATGGTGCGCTACGTGTATGACCTGTACCTCGACGTCGTGCGCCCGACAAACTACACAATACATATCTATGTAGCAGCCTGACTCGCACATTATAGACCTGTACCTCGATATCGTGCGCTCCGGACAACATGCACACGCACGCACGGTGAGCACTCACACATACACATATCTAATGTACGCTATATGCGGCGCGCGTGCTGAACGTGCGCGTCATGCCGCACATGGTGCGCTACATGTACGGCCTGTAGTACCTCTACATCGTGCGCTCCGGACAACACACACACGCACGCACGGTAAGCACTCACACATACACATATCTAATGTACGCTATATGCGGCGCGCGTGCTGCACGTGCGCGACATGCCGCACATGGCGCGCTACGTGTATGACCTGTACCTCGATATCGTGCGCTCCGGACAACACCCACACGCACGCACGGTGAGCACTCACACATACACATATCTACTGTACGCTATATGTATGCACGCACAGTGAGCACACACACACACACACACGTATCTACTACTATGTGTGGCGCACACACTACCTACCTAGTTTCAATTATAGTTATAATATACATATATGTATGTAATGCGTTATATGTCTATCATCATTGTCAAGCATTGACTCATTTTTATCACCGAAATAATCCCGACATCTTCCCGCATGACCGTGTAGTGGCAGTGTAGGAATATCCATTGCTTCATATCATCCTGTGGTTATCAAGATATACAATCACGAGATCGGCAACAGCGTCTTCCTAATAAGGATTTAAAAAAAACTACGGTTGCTAACCGGTGCTAAGAGCCACGGAGTCTAATCCAACAGGGAACAAGTATTTTTGGGTCTAAAAATGATTGTTCGGGGTCTGAATGTTTGTCCTTATGAATTTATGTATACACTTAATTTGCCTTCACGATGAAAAATAATATTGTAAGGGTAATGTATTTTTAAAAGGGGACAAAAAAGCAGTGGATTTTACATAACCTGTAATTAACAAAAATCTGCGTTGTTGGTCTAGTGGTCGTAAACGTGTTTGCTGAACATGAGGTCCGAGGTTCGAATCCGGGGTCGGGCTAAAATCAATTATTGGGTTTTTCTGACAAGAAATTGAAAATAGCAGTCCGGAGTCAGAAAATGGCGGTCTTTCACCCCATATGCCTTGGAAAACGTGTGAAGCCATTAGTCCTGCGTCCCATCGGACTATGAGAGTGAGAGAATAGCGAGTAAGCTTGTGTTTGTATACACTCGGGCACTATAAACCTGTTTTGCGCAGATGGCTAGTCTCCGTTGAGTTGGGCGGTTCTCACCGCCCAGACCATCGACCGACACGAGCTGAGCAGTCAGAGACGGGGGTCCGCACTCCCCCTTCGGACGGCGGTTAGATAGCTCAAGAAACGCCTAAAAAGGCGACATGATGATTGGTAACAATACCAAACCATAAACCACTCATCATCATCCTCACCTCATTGCCTTTCCCTTTTTTTAATTAGCTCGAGTCCTCCCTGAGTCAGATGAAGCTGTAAGAGTCGTATAGACTAACAGCGCTAACATCCAGAAAATAGATCTCCGTTGAGACTGGCCGCCGTTACCAAAACTCAGTTTGCAGGCCATTAATAATCGATGGAATAAGAACCACTGCTAAATGTTGTGATGATGATGGTGATGATAATGGTGATGATGAGGGTGTTCGGCAGGAGGACGGCATGTGGAGCGCGCCGGGCAGCGGGTCGGCGGCGCGGCCGCGCGAGCCCGGCTGCCTGCGCGCCGCGCACCCCGGCGCCGGCGACAGTGATGACGACGACGACTCCGCTCCGCAGCCGCAACCAGCAAGCACAGACGCACCCACGTTCACGCCCACCGAGATTGTTAACGAACTCGAACATGCGCCGGACACCTGAATACCTCTCCGTAGTATGCACTACTGATCCAGCACACAACTATACATTAACTGGACCGTATTATGCAGAGATGATCCAACACGCAAAATTTAAACTAAAAATCTTTTTTTTTTTTAATTATTAGTAACAACTTTTATATTTGTATTTAATGTCAAATGTGTCATTCCCGTTAGTATTTTGCTTGGATCAGTTTTGCATGACTCCATCTAACTATAAGTCTACATTTAAGTTTACTAAGATTAATAAAATTACTCATTAATAAATATTTTTTATTTCAACATCTCATAGATAATCATAGCCTTTAGCTAATAAGCGTCAGGTTTACTCTACTCATGATTACTTAAATCAAACTATACCAATTGAAAAACAAATACTGATCAACAACTTCATTTTGTCATGTAGTGGAAGCATAACAAAATCCATTACCTTATCTTATTGTGTTCAAAGTAAGAAATCTCAGATGAACCTAGAATAAGAAACTGTAACCAATTTTATAACTTTGTGTGAGTCAGGGAAGTGTTGCCACTTTTGTTTTTTAAAAGTACCTGAATATCGAGATAAAATACTACAAATATAAGAGTATGCGAGCGATACGAATGGGAAAGTACATCTGTCTGTTTTAATAAGTTTCAACAATTTGACAATTCAAAAAGAGATGATGAACGCAGGAGGCGTCTGTAGAATAAAAGTCTTCTTGATAGATTGACCAGTGAGCATGTAAGCATCGATAAAATATACAACATATGTAGTATAAAACATGTCCATTACAAAAAATAACTAAATACTAAAAAAGGCATAAAAAACTAGTTGGAATAAAAAACAAATTTCCATGGAATTAAAATTATACTTTTCTAGATGAAAAATAGTATATTTTAGTAAATATAAAGTAGAACAAACTCCAGCACGTGGCATAAAGGAGTATTCTAATTTGAACCCCGGGTAGGATAGATATGAAGTATCTGCCGGATAGGACACCTGAGTCTTGGTTAAAAAGAGCAAAGCCGGCTTTGCTGTCTCCAAATGGTAGTAGACAACGTTAAGATTGGAATGAAGTCTCCTGATGTTGCAAAAATTTACCGCTTGACTCTAGCAGTTTTAGTCGCGAGCAGAATTCCCCTCCTCCCTCCACCAGAATTCACGGGTCAGCCTAAGCATCCACGCTTATGAAGAGTAAAGTATCTTGGTCGTGGATGCTCAGCGAGGGATTTTCCGTCACCAGGGGTGAGGGTACCCTCCTGGAGTAGTTTTTATTTGATTCCGCTACGATGCCGATGTTAAGGAAGGATGGGGAATTGGGCCTCCGGCCACCTACACTTATCAAGCGAAACGCACGCGCTTCCGTGCGGGGACGGGAGCGCTGACTGCTTGGCACGACCGCACGAGAGCGGTCCGACAAGCGGAATGTAGGCATGTCGGTCTAAAATCGATTAATCGAAAAATCGAAAAATTTTTGGAGTAAAATTATCGATTTTTTAGATAGATTCGAAGCACCGCATCGATTCACTGAATCGATCCAAAAACCTATTGAATCGGACTGATTCATTTGATTCAAGAACTACCTAAAATTCCCAAACTGGCTGGGGTAAGATACCACAGTTTTTTATTTTTTGCTGTTGGGGGACGCAAAAACAACCGGTCGTACTTGGTTGATAATTTGATAGCAATATAAAATATAATATTTGAATAAAATAAATGTTTATGAACGCATCCAACAATACCGAAAAGTTGTCTTTTCATTTTCATTTCTAAAATTCTTAAGCCCACTTTCCACTAAGGGATATAATGTAATTTAATATTACATCTCGAGATATAAATGAATATTTATTATCAAAAATATACATACTGTAAGCTGTAAGTACAGACAGAGTACTTTTTAAATACCTAGATATTGTAAAAAATATTATACCGTACGTTGAAGTTTATAGAGGTTTATAGTAAGGAAATAACCAGTATTGTGTTCGTGTAGCATTCATTTCAATACGATAAATAGTGAGTTCTTAGATTGAAACAGATTTATCGAGAAATGTACGTTGCAGTTTGCACTTTTGTAAAAGTATTGTTGTTTTTAGCCTAAAATTTCAAATAAAAGTTTTACGTGGGATCACTTCGTAAAAAAAGGGATCGAGTGGAGTATGTGCGAACCACTCCTAACACAAGCGTTTCAAGCTTACCAGGAGAGGTTAAAAGGAATATTAGTAATGTTAATCAATAAGATTACTAATATTTTATTTTAAAAAAATATTACAGTTTAGAAGTTAAAGAAAAAAAAATCGAAAATTCTTGAAATTTCATGTTCGAAAATGTCGCGATTAATCGAAAATCGATCTTTTATTCCTCGATTTAATCGATAATCGATTCAAGTACCTTCGATTCAAATCGATTCAGAGATCGATTTTTTTAAGAGTGAATCGACATGCCTAGCGGAATGTGCAAATTTACTGCACGACGCCCCGAGAAGTACTGACTACTGACGAAAATGAGCGTAGTTTGATGCATGTGTGTGCGTGAACGCGTGTGCACCAATAAAAAAGGCTGCGCTTTATCTACCTTTTTTTACTTCATCTGAGTAAGAATTAAGAATGTGACTAGGTACGACAAAATTCAGAAAAATATCTGCTACATATAAAACATTAAAAGAAAATATAAACATGTAAGAAGAAGTATACCGTCTTATTCTCCAAACTCAAAAAAAATCTATTGTCTCCAACTGATGGCTAATAATACATTTAAATTTACGGAGTTTAATGTCGGCAACAATCAGTCGGCAATCTTTTCTTCCATACCAACCCGTAAAGGTCCTATACTGGACTCGAGCCTATCTTGTTTTATACAATATGTAACGTAATTAACGCACACCCCAATTAATATATAATTTTATAATCATAATACATACACTGAATTTTTAGTTAAACATTTTTATGCACTGATTATTTATAAAATTAATTATACTAATTCCGGAAGAATGTGGTGTTCACAGTACGAACGCAAAGACTTTAACGTGCTTGAAATAAAGTAAATTTTTCTTTATTTTTATTGAATGACAGAATTAGTAATAATACAAATAAAACTGCACTCTTAAAATCTTATTGTCTTAAGTTATGGTCCAGTTCAGTTTGTTTTGACTGTACAGATTTAGTGTGACTGTAATTTACGTTGTTTTAATTATTTTTGGAATAAAAAATTACCTATATTAAAAATGATAGGAATCGATTCAGTAAACGATTCTGAACAAACTACTTTCTCAAAGTGCGTTAATTACGTTACATATTGTATATAGTGGTAAAACGAGATAATTTGCTTACGTACGTGATAACAGGATTACGTAAAACGTAGGAGTTCAATTAGTTGCAATTCATAAGCTGACAAAACTTCGCGCGCTTTAGGCACGATGTGCTTAATCATCACGCTGAGCAGCCGGATGATCGCAGCGCCAGACTTCTTGCAGCTTAAACTCAGTCGCAGTTCTGGTTATTTTACGTCTGGCAAAACCAGATGTAACGCCATCTATCGGAAGCTTTAAGAACTTTCTGGCATTTTTCTAATTCGACACCCACGTGATAAAATGCGCTAATAGATTAGGTATCTTATGACGTCATCACACTGATACTTAAATTCAAAAATGTTGTTGTTTATGATATAAAAATGCTAAAAATCACATCACCTAAGTTTTTAACATAAAACAAAGAGGTGGCTTTTTTAATCGTTGATTTTTGAATGAAACATTATTGGGATGTGAACAAGATTGATATTATGTACGTCGAGTTCTGTTGTGTTCGTGTAAAATAATATTTCATGAGGATGTCATCCATGGACTGAAATTAGTAATGAGGCAAAAGAAAATACCAATTATCTTTTTTAAAGTTGTCCAGTATGCAAGCAAATTATCTACGTACTACGTACTACGTACTACATACTATATAGTACGTACCTAAAACACAAAAAGGACAGAAAAACAAAATCTAAAACTATATACAAATTTCAAAAGTTTTTAAAAGTTCTTAAAGAAAATAGTGTATAAAATCATGTAATATGTTGAATAAAACTATTTATACGGATTTCATCGCGTTTAATTAACTTATTTTTTATTCCCGACGTTTCGGGTGCTTTACAGCCAAAGAGATTTAAATATATATATTATACATACTTAAACGTCTTTGACCACCAACTAACAAAATCTACGCGAAGAACTTTGTTACAAATTGACCAATAAGAACATAATCTATACTAACTATAGGTGTCGACCTGCTGAGTGATTTGTTTAGCAGGCACTGATTTAAAGTTCTGGTGTGTTTTATATAATGTATCAATTGCTACGAAATTTTTCTTTTATTTTTAAAATTGATGTTAACAGCGCCATCTCTCTTTAAATTTATACGTAGACTAGGATTCTCTGTCTACGAATTTATACCTATGTTAAAGGTGGTGATTACCTGTTTCTATACATTGTATTATGGAGTAGTATGTAGGATAAAGTAAGGAATACCAACACCCATAGTAGAATATTTGAAAAAGTGGCCATCTGTAAGCAGTAAATAACAGTTCAAAAACTTTCCACAACAGCGCTGGAGTAGCTACTGGGATGAAATGAACTTAGCAGTTATCGATGTTTGAAGTGTGCTGCTAAACTGCTCAGTAGCTCTAAAATCTAAAATAATTTTATTTAGTGAATATAACCTCGAAGAAGTCGTCTATACCACTAATATTTTTCGGCACGTTCTTTAAAATTTAGCCCGTAGCTATAGTGGCGCCACCCTTATTTAACGGTTTTCTATGGACACTTTAATACACAGTCTGTACTCCTTACTTCTACACTCCATACATTGTATATTATATTTGTGATAAAAATCATTAAGGGGACTGAAATTAAGTAAATAAGAATATTTTTATAATTTTTAGAACTGTCTGTCTGTTTCTTTATGAACTCATTAGGTATCAAGTAAACATTTTTCTTAATGACATCGCTAAAAAAATCATAAAACGTGTCTTCTCGTTACATTTAA